TGCCCTCTTATCCCAGAGGAAAGCCGATAGTATAAAAGCTAAATTAAAAATAAGACAATAGAACCCAAAACGCCCATCAAATAGCTTGGTTTTAATCTAGATAAGAGATTAACGTTCAAAAAACACATTACTAACCGTGTGGCCAAAACAACGGGGGTGATCGAGCTATTAACCCAATGCTGAACCGAAACAACAAGGTCAATAAGTCAAATAAGTCCAGTTCAATGGCTGAAACACATTTTAAATAGTTCCCAAATAACACACAACTGGTGTTTTAGGCTAATGGGATGTAAGAAATACACCAGAGTGACAGAACTACATGAGAGAACAAACATCCTATTAAGCAGTACATCATTAATACGGCTGAAACATTTTATAAAAACATTCTTCCTCGGCAAATGAAAGAAGATATAAGCCAATACATAGTCTTAAATAACCATAATAGGAAGCATGTTTTGCTTCATGAGAACCTGACAATTTACAGACGCTGAAACGGGACAAAAATAAAGCAAAATATCGTTAAAAATAGGAATGCAAACGATATATCGATATTTCTAATACATCGATGTTAAGCCCATAAAACATCGATACATATCATTAATTATGAGCGATATTTCAAAGAGAAGTTTGATAGTAATACTAAATGCACTGTCCGAAGAGGGACTACGTCGTAAATTCTAGTCTGCGGTGAATCGGTGGGAGAGGTATAGGATCGGCGACCTACAATTGGCAGATCCCCGATCCTATGGCCGATTATTTAACGGATAGCGTAAACAAAACTCCTTAAACTATAACGAACAAACAATCCACGCATCAAAACCCTGTTTTTGAAATAGTTTTTTCAGTTTAAATATACAAAATAAATTCAGACATAACAAAAATTATGAATAGACAGATAATACCAGCCTGGTAAGGGGCTGTCTCGCTCTCTGTAAATGGCAAACTTCTACAAGCTACACGGAGGCCAATCTTAAACGAGATTTTTTTATTTTCTTTACTTTAAAAATAAGTTTGTAGAAGTAAAATGTATATATTGTAAATAGTTTAATAAAGATTTTTAAAGTAGAGTCAATCATTTATTGCATTTATCACATCTTTCCCATAAACAAAGTAACTAAAATTATCTCGTCTCCAACGAGATTTAAAATATTCTCAATCATTAATAGATAATGAGTTGTAACAGACAAATATTTTAACACTCCATAGGATATTATACCATTTATATATAGTACTTTAGCAAAACTGTACCATTCAGATATCACTGAATGCCAAAGAAATAAAATTTTAATACCAATGTTCTTCGCCTAATTAAAGGGGAAAATTAATGTATTTTTTTTTTAATAAAAATAAAGACATTGTTTCTACGTAAATAGAATAAAAAATTCACAAGTAATTTGAATGTTGTTAAGTTATAATAAGCAATGAAAGTATATCATTAACATTTTTTTCGCAGTATCTGATAGCTGCGTCTTTTACTCTCGTGTGGTCTCCCTCTGCGTCAGCGTCGAGTGCCACGAGATTTTCTGTCAACTAGGGTGCGTTCAAAAATTTAGGATAAACATGTTCGGACATTGTCTAGACTCTTAAAAGTTTTTCTAAATGTGGTCCGTCCTATAAAATTAAAAGAAAAATGCGTATAGATGAAGAAATTTTACCTACCGTGTTGAGTAGGGTAATTTTTACTCGACTTGCGCAGTATGTTTGTATTATCTCAAACAACCTTAATTAACCGAGAACCATTTATTCCAATTCCTATTTTTACTTTTTGATTAAAAATATTTAAGTATGAATACTCATACGAATGAAAAAATTAATTCCATCAATTATCGTCTAGTTTTCGGAGATGATGGCAACTTAAAATTTTATATGTAGACACCAATGTTGTTATGAATACATTCCATTTAGATTCATTACCTATTTACTAATTTTTGATAATTCCTACAATAACCTTACATATCCAAAAACTCGATTTGACAAGTGCCATTTGGGCTTACTGTTCGTATCTATTGGCCAGAAACAAACGCTCCGGCGAATTTTGTCCCGACGACTGAAATTTTGACACTCTAGATTTACGAACGCACCCCAGTAACGTTTGTACAACTCTGAATATAATGGAAGTCTGTTGTTCCCAAATAATCGATTTTATCGTCGATTCCTAGTTTTGATTCCTTTTGGATTAATAGGAACATACATCAAAAAAATCTATATTTGGATATTTATTAATATGGCAAAGTTCTTGCTATTAGGCATTTCAACAACCTGTCTGTCAATAGATGAGCTCATATATCTAAGGGGGTTTCAACATAGTCTTCCATCTTGGATACTTATTTTTATTCGCCAAGCCTGGCAATTTATAAAAAATTATTAGCGGTCTTTTATAAATATTTTCATTTTGTTCGAGATAAAATATATTAAATTTAATCAATTATTCATGATTTTACGTGTTGTAGATAAACTTATGTCGCGACCCCTTAGATATACCAACCCTTCCCACTGACAGCCATTTTGTTTAGAATGCCTAATATTCAATTTTTTTCTATACAATTTAAAAAAAGGGCACATAGATGAAATTAAAATGATTTTCAATGGTTGGTTAGTTAAATTAAGTCTTGAACCATAAAATTCGGGGAACTTAATCATCCATATTAACAAAGCATTTTTAAATAATTGAAGAAGGATATCTATCCAACTGCTCTAATGTGCTTAAATAGTAAGAAAATGACACAAAATCAAAACTGATTTCATATCTGCTTTTTCCGATTAGCCATATTATTTGGTCCGATTTTTCAGACTTCACTTTCCGATTCATCCAGTAACACGTTTTGAAAGAGTTGAACTTAGACGTTTGTAACCTTGGCCTAATCTACTGGTAGGATCATCATTTTTAACAAGATTGTTGGTAATATTTAAATTTTTGCTTAGATTACAAATATATTTCAACTACTCTGTTACAATAAATAAAAATAATATTAAAAAATTTAACCATATTAACTTGTGCTAGGCTTTGTGATTTTGTTAATTTTTCATGTTCCACTCCCACAATAAAATGGAATTACAGGGGCGCAAAAAATTTCAACAAAGGGAGGAACAGGCTGAGGAAGAGAGATTGGATAGGAGATCTAGATGAACAAATTTTAGATACTACAGTTACATAACAAAAGAAACACGAAAAACAAAGGAAATAGTGAAAAATCAGTAAAGAATAAAAATTAAGAAACTATAAACGTCATGTTTGCTTTAATGATGAAGGAAATGAATGAAAAAGAAAGATAGACAACAGTTGGTAAATAAAATGAATGAAAATAGTAATATGATGGATGAAAACAATGAAATAATGGTTTTAAAAATGGATAGATTAAAGGAAAATAGAACGGTAGATAAGGAAAAATTGATGAAAACAATAGAAAAGATAAAGAAGTTTAAACAATGATCTTGAGTAGTAACCATTTAATTTTGGCAATATCGGTCACTTAGTTTTTATTTAATAGCACAACGTACCTATGTTTCGAAACACTAATATTTCCATAAACACATCTTTTTGTTTTATATCATCTAGACCAGTGGATCCCAAATTGGAGAAGGGGGGGGGGGGGGGGGGCGAAGACTATTCATATGAATCGAGAATAAGAGAACGAAAGCAAAAAAAGGCGTTGGAAATCCCATGTCGCAATTCCTCCTGTTAATCGGCAATTCCTAAAAAAATTTAAGCTGAATTTGTATAATTCTTCGCAGTTTAACAGACTTCCCTCAAATGCCACATCTGACAAAAAATTATTTTAAAAATTTGGAGATTATGTACTACATTTTGGATATTTTCCGGTATATCCTTTAATCGCGGAATTAACATTGAAATTTTATATACCACTTTCAACGACCTACTTGTGCTAGAAAGGATTTTCTGTTTTATTGGGGGAGGCGTGACCGCTTCTTTATTTTAAAAAGAGGGCGCCACAGATTAAAGTTTGGGAACCACTGATCTAGACAATATGAAACCAAAAGATGTGGTTTCATCTTTATTTTTTAACTGTTATGTTCGCCGATGTTTTTTTATTTATTTATTGTGACTACATAAAAACTAAGTGACACCGAAAAAAATTCTACTAAGATCAGGAAATTATCCTCTTTAAATTTTTTATTAGGCTATTTTAAGCTTTTATGATTTTTTTGGAGGTACTATGTTCTATATAAGAAAATAAATACTAATTCTCAAATGTGACCAATTTAAAATGAACGACAAAAAAAATCTCAGTCTGTATCAAAAAGAAAATAGCAGAGATAGAAAATCAAAGCTAGAGCGTTGAAAATTATTTTCTAGCTTTATTTTCTTTTTGATATAATACAAATGCTTGTGGAGATACTAACCAATGGAGTAGTTGTTTTCAGGAGGGAAACGATCGCTAGACTTTGCTGTGTCCCGTATTTTCTATTTTCCTTTGTTTTTCATTAAGAAATATGGTTTTCTAATCTAGAATTTTACGATTGAGGTTTAAAATTCCGATATTACAAAAATATTATTTGACTTTTTACCAAATTGAGTATTACATAATCGACATACATGGTATATTTATGACCTTGCATTTATAAAAAACTATTTTGAAGAAGTTCCACCAATTTTTGAAACAAACGTTAAAGATGAACCCAAAAAAACAAGATAAACCTAAATAATGCGTGACCCGTTTTGGTTGAAGAGTTAAACTTTTGTTGAAAAATAATTGTTTTTAAGGGATGAACTCAATCTTTTTCTTTTTAATCTCACCTGGTATATTATTTTTTAGCTTTGATTACCCATCAAAAGAATGGTGGTCAGTAATCTCAGTAATAACGATTAAAAGATTACATAAATCTACAAATTGTATAATTACTACAACGTTTATAGCTTTAATGAGCAACCCATGAAATAATAAATTAAGTCCAATAGATGTTATAGCAACATTTATCAAAGTAAGTTAACACAACCATTCATTGAAAAACAACACTTTATGCCACCATAAAAAAATATGAATACATTTATTATAATAATCAAGTTTTAAAACAGAATAACAAAAAACAATTTATTAATAATCCACAAAACTTTATTATTCAACTGCACTTTGAGAGACATTCAAAATCGAGTATGCATTTGTTTCCAACAGATTTATCCTTATTTATGTATCAATTTCAATATGTTACTTTTAATTTATTAACTACTTCTATTGTCAGAGGCACATCCGAGTTCGTTAAATTTATCAGAAACCGAAATTTGCAACAAATTTTAAGAAGTATGTAAATGTGCTATTTTCTCCAATTCATCGTCTATAGTTATATGCTAGTAACCATAACGATCCTAAAAACAAAACAAAAATCAAAATCAGTATTTAAGGCGAAAAAAAAAAAAAAATAATAATTTCAATGGATATAATTCACAACAATAATTGGAGCAGCTATTTATTTAAAATTTGGATCCGGTAATTTTTAGCACGTGTATACTTGTTTTAGAATCCATAGTTAATATAAGATATAAAACATCAAAAAGGTTAATTTTACACAAAAATATAGGTGTAAGGAAGCTGAAAATTGGGCGAATTCCACATATTCAAAATGAAAAGTTCTATGGAGGGCTATATTTTTAAACCAGGCCAGGCTGCATTCTTAAATGAAAATCGAAGTTCATAACTGCTTTAGAGTATCACTGCACTCGAATTTAGAGATGGACAGTAACAAATCCATAAATGTAATGTACATTTACATGATATATCAGAACTTCGATACAAGCCGAGAATACAACTTTACATAAATTCAAGAAATATGCCACAAATTAAGCCTTGAGAAGGTTACAACAAAGATTTAAAAAAAAATGTAATTATCTAAATTAGGATGTAATAGGGTGGACCAAAATTCGACTACCAATGGCTTTGTGTAAACACTCCCATGCAAAATCCTGCATTACTATAACATAATGAACCACAAACGCCACATATATGCCAGTAATTAAAATTTCTCGTAAGCCGTTCATTTTAATATAATAGAATATTGACTTCTTTGTGAAGGAATATTTGGGAAAGTCTTTAGATTTCTTCTTTTACATCGTCGAAAAAATTTGAAAAGCAACTCTTTTTAGTTTAAAATAATTAGTTTAAATGTCTGATAATAGTTATACAGTCTCATTTTAATCCTATGAACAACTAAATGCTTTTTTTTTTTTAATTTTAACTCTTATATTTTTCAAAGGGTGAAAAACAAATGTTAAAAATACAAAACATTTTTAACCGTAAAATAAACTAAGTACGGCGCTGAATAAATTAGAGACAGGTGCCATATATTAATACAAAACTGATAAAATGCATTCTATGGCGTACACACTAATCTTTCCATGCATAGAAAATCACAATTTGTTTTATTTAAATTAAAAATATATTCAATCTATTGAAAAATATCTGACAGTTCATTTCTGCAGAGGTTGCAAGAATGCAGTTTTGAACAAACACAATAAATACCTTCTGATATTTTTATTATACAATGAGGACGTAAACTGTGCCCCCTCTTAACTTCTAAATTGAAGACGATAGAGACATGAAACAAAAACGAGGTGACATTAGAGATATTATATTTTTGTTATAACAAGATGTACTTTACTTGGGACATAAGATAGAGCGTTAGTATATTTAATTTTTTTTTAATGGAAAGTAGGATTATGTGATACCTCATTTGAAAGATATTTTCATTATCTTTACGTCTATGCAAACAGCTTTAGGTTTTTTCTTTTTACAGAAATTTCATTAAATTAATGAAATAAGTTACATTCTTGATAATACTGGTATTTACTAAGGAAACACTTTTTACAAACTAAATAAGCACAATATTTACTAAATTTAATAAATTAATAATATCAAAGGTATCTAAAAACCACTTAACGTATTAAATGTTCAAAATGCTCTCCCATAACTTCTTGGAAATAAAAAAGCCTATTTAAAAATTATCTTCTAACATTGTCTAGCATTTCTGGGGCTATTACGGCACATACTTGAGAAATTCGATCCCTTAAATCATTGATGTAATTTTAGTAAAAATATAAAAAGAAAACCTAAAACTGTTAGCATAACCATAAAGATAATGAAACTATCTTTCAAATGAAGTATCACGTGACCCTACTTTCCATTAGATTATTTAAAGACAGTAACGTAACGGCCTGTACCTTACATCTCAAGTAAAGTACATTTTGTTTTAACAAAAATAAAATATCTCTTTAATTTCACTTCGTCCTTACTGTATAACAAGTTGTAACAAAAAAATCAATCACTTGTAACAATACTGATCAATAAATCAATGTGCCAAACAAGTTTTATTTATCGAGAACATCATTTAATTTTTATTAAGATACTCAACTCCAGACAACAGAAGCAGCTGAGAAAGTGTGTTATTGCGTTACAAGTGGCATAAAATTGATCGAAAACACTTCATCGAGTTAGAAATTTAATCAATAATAAATGTTGTTTAAAATATATTCTATCGAATGACATTTTATTAAAATACATTTGAATTACAATAGATCTACAATACATTAGATCAAAAATCAACGGCATTGTCACAAATTAGCTCGTATCGAAAGAGTGCCTAAACGAAATGGCACGTATATTTTTTTTTTCGAAACAATCCTTCTTTGGCTCTAGGCCGTACAGGTTAGGTGGTTTAATCAAGTTTTTTATTTTTCTAATTTTATACATATTATTTATGTGAAGCAACCTGGGAGACAATTCAAACATTGCCTTTCTGGTACCAGGTAATATTTTGAATCTCTGGAGACAACTCGACCCTGTCCATTTATTTACCGATTCCGTAATATTAAATCAATTTTTCTTAATATTGAATTTCCCTAATAGTTCATTTTTAATAATCTAATATAGTATATTGATCGATTGTTTGGTTTTTCAATCAAATCTATTTTCGATGAATTTCCTTTTAGATGATTATTCTTTTTGATCATTTGTTTTTTCGATCAAATGTTTTCAATCAAAAAATGTATTCGATCAATTTTGTGCCACACTTGTCTTGCATTTCAGATAAATCTTCAAAAAGAGGAAGTTTGAACCAGCAGAAAACCTAATCTCTTTCCAACGGACATCTCAATGTGTACGTTTAATTTTGACAACTGGAATTTCCACTGTGTTGTTGATAGTCGAATTTTGAATTATAATAAAGACAAATTTTACCTGTATCGAAGACATCAAACCATTAGCAAGTGAGCCTAATTTGCCAGCAACTTTAGTAACTCCTTGTCGAACACTTTCTTTAACATCTTCCATATCATACTGTGGCATATTATTGCTGGGATGGTTAGATTCTAAAAAATATATTATAAAGAATAACTTAATAGTAAAACATTTATTTTTAAAATGAAAATTTTTTAATTAATATTATATATTATTTACAATTTTTGTTTGAAAACTCTGCTATTTATTACGAGTGGTAATCAGCAAAGATAATTTACAGGTTTATATATAAAATATAGACGCTATAAATATATTATTTTCAACTTTTTAACTGATAAAATTTGGCCACGTTATAACCATTTGTAATTATTCTATTTGCTGCTTATGAGCGCGAATAATAATAAAGTTATTGTATGTATTTTAATATCAATTTTCTTCTAAATGTCTTATTAAACGGATGAATGAGGGATTTCTTAGATAACTGAAGACATTTATTGATTGGTTTCATATAAAATATGATTAAAAATTTAAGGGGAATTGGATAGTAAACAAATTTTGGCTTGCGGTTTACACCTTGATTAATTATATGCACAATCAAAGAAAAAATTTGATTACATACCACATATTTTAAGCTGAGAAAAAGATTTAAACTGTGATTTTACTAAATATAAAACTTTTAGGAAGATTTTTATCAATGTTACAGAAGGCACAAATAAAAAAAAGGTTTAAAAGTTACTTTTCAAATCAAACATGAAAAACATTCCATAATGATTTTTCTTTTCATGAATAGAAAAAAAATTACCGTTTCCATTTCCAAAAAATTCTGCTGACGATATACTGGAAGATCCTTGAAATCTGCTTAAATTGGCTTTGGTTTCATAATCTGCACCATTGTCATTGAAAAACTGGTCAGATGAGATGGCTTTAGCGTTTCCAAATTTCTTTTGAGCCTCATCGCTGGTGCTTGGAGATGAAATAACGTGTCTCTCCTTTTTTCGTTCTTTTTCCCGTTCTCGTTCCCTTTCCCTTTCTACAAATATTTTTTTTTTTTAGTTTAATAGTTATAAAAAAAATATATACAAGTTCTTACCATAAGAACTACTTTTAGGTTTTTCAGGAGGATCATCAATAATGACCCAACTGTCTTTGCTAGATTTACTGCTCTCTGATAAAGATTTAGCATCGGCAAGATCGGCTAGGAATGCATTTAATTTACTGTCTCCATAACTATTGGAATTGCGAATCATACTCAGAGTGTTTCCGTAAGTATAGTCATCCAAAAAATTGTCACTATCTGTCAGGCGTAATTTTCCTAAAGATGACAATGTACTGCTTGGTGAGTGGACATTTTTTTGTTCAATAGTTTGCATGTCGCTGACGGCTGAGTGGCTTATCCCTCTGGAAAATATTTAAATAAAAATTCAAGATTAGAGCAAATTTCTACTCTTAGAAATTAAATAGTCAGGAAAGAAAATGTTATATCGGCACCTATCTAATAATTTTGACAGAAATGGCCCACCTTCACATACCTACCATGAATGATTTATTACAGAGCGGTTTATCCATTGGTTCATAAGTGCAGTGAACACACAGTTAAATTTCATAAAAACACATTATTTTTAAATCACATAAATAATTTAAACATAAATTCAATTTTAATATATTTATTATTCTCGCACGTGTTTAATCTCTACTTTTTTTGATACCCCACTGCACTCTGGCTGGTCGCGTCTGTCGGTGCAAGAGGTTTCCTTCGAATGCCTGTAGTTAAAAAGAGAGGTCAACATATGCGTGAAACAAAAGTGTATGTGCTTGAAACCACGCTATTTTTATCATCATAGACCACGTCACGACAGTTAAGTTCGCTTGGTCTAATGACTAGTCATTGGGTTTGGTCAAGGTCACTGACTGGGGGTCTCTGAGCGATACCACATTTAGTAGATTTCTGATTTTTTTAGATTTTTAACTTGTTTGGCTAGTTTTGGCAGACATTTTTTTGTAGATTTTAGTAGATTTCTATTTCAATAATTGTGTTGCTAAAAATTATTGCCAAAAACAGATTATAATTAGGGCCAAGCGGTAATCAAAATAATCAACCATCGATTAAACGATTTTTTTCGAATAATCGATTATTACTAATTGATTTTTTTATTAATCTATTTTTTTGTATAAATCATTGTTTCAATTAATTGATTTTTTGAATAATCGATTTTTTCAAATAATCGATTTTTTCGATTAATCGATTTTTCCGTTAATCGATTATTTTTATGAATCGATTATTTACCACTAGAGTACAGAAAGTTAATTGTTTTAAAACAGTATATTGTAATCGATTAATCAAAATCGAATAAGTATATTATCTTTAAAAAATCGAAAATATCCGATTAATCTAAAATAATCAATTAATAAAAAAGATTATCGATTTTTCTATTTTATTAGCGGTACGCAGTGTGTATATGAATTTACTCGATACGATTGCTTTTGCTTATAGTGTGGTGTAGTGAATATAAAGTTTTCAACAGTTCTACCGTGCCAAATGGGAACAAAACTCATTATATTCATCTTGGCTTTGCATCTCTAAGGTTTATCCTCTCTCAAAACTATCTCTAATCAAAACAAGGAAAAACTTTTGGTTTTTTTATATTGGCGGTAGAAATTAAAATAGTTTCTGGGCTTGTAGAGCGCAATGTACCATTTCTGGTAATGGAATATTTAAGTGTGGTTATCAAGCAATATTTCCATGGCCCAGGAATCATTGAACACCCATTTTAAATTACCACGAGCCTGCACTGATCCATTACCATATATGTTTAAATAGTGCTTAAAATTGGTTTTTGAATTATTTGTTTATTTTAAATTTTTTCAAGCATAATTATTATTGACAGTTTTAAAGTAATGTTTAGTGATATAGTAGATAGTGTTAAATTTTAATTTTCTTCATTAACCCATTAACACCAAAGAGGACCATAATATGGAGCCATCAAAGGTGGGTGCATTTTTATTGTAGGGGTAGCGTTTGTTTAACAGTTAACCTAAACTGGCCAAACCAGTTACTTAGAGGGAAAGCCCACTCACGCGACATGTCGCGCGCGACCTGCCGCATGCGATTTTTTAGGTGCGATTTTTAACAGACGACAAGCAGCGACACAGACGTTCAGTATCAAAATAGAGGTGGAAGAAGTAGTAACGGTGTTGTTTTATTCTGTTCGTCGGCGGAAAAAATTGAAACGACGTGGGTACTGGGTTCATCCATTATTTATAGACCCTAATGTAAAAGGCGCTTTTAATTTATTACATAAGGATTTACGTCAACACGAAGATAAGTTCTTCAAATATTTCAGAAAGAGAGTAGTGTCATTTGACGAACTGCTAGCGCAGATTCCCGAACAAATATTTTTTCGCTATTTTATTTCAATTAACTGTTCAATATTTGAGGTCGGTCTTGAATATTGGATATAAATTCATCTATATCAATATAACTGTCGGACATTTTTTCACTGGAACTGTCGAAAACTTAACAGGAAACTCCAACTCTCACCTGGCGTTTCGCACGCGACTTGACGTTTGTATGAGTGATGCTCCATATGAATCCATGATAACGCTGGCCGCGTGCGGCAGGAAAATCGCGGGCTTGTCATTTCTAATTTTCAGCCGCGTGCGACTACGCGACAGAACCGCGTTAATGGGCTTTGAGTCATTTAAAAACATCTAAAGTATTGCCGCGCGCGATGCCTCGCGATTAGTCGCGCGCGACGTGTCGCGTGAATGGGCTTTCCCTCTTAAACGATATACAAAGGCAGACGTGTCAAGTAGTTTTGTGCAGATTTTACGTATTTCAGTGATTCTTTTATTATTTAGAAAATCATCGTACCTCATTTGGCATAAAAAAAATGAATTTCAAATCGATTACTATGTAGTTATTTAACAATATTTCTCCCATGTATTTGGTTTCCTGTTTTGTTAAACCTTTGTGGAAATATTCTAAGTTTAAGTTAACTTTTTTGTTTTTTCTGTCATGACTTTTTTGTTTTTTCTGTCATGACTTTTTTGCCTGTACCCATATGGGACCACTAGGCAGTTAGCGGCTAATAGGAGTTTCTTTTATTCACAATGGTCGTACACTAAAGAGGCCCTAGGGAATTGAGGTAAATGAGATATACATTGAGCCTCCTGAAAGTCATGTCCTAACAGATGAGGATTCAGGTAATGAAGCTGAAGCAGGGTTCGTGGACAAACTTAGCGCGAAAATTGTTTTTTCCGACTGTAGAAGATTAGGAGCAATACTTCAAGAAAACATTGAATCGTTTGAAGTGACTGGCATTTAAACAGGAAAGGAAAATATAAATTTACCAACCATATCCAATGCAAAAACACATGAAAGAATTCCACTTGTATTATCTACAAAGCCAGAAACAACCGATTTTTCAATTATAGGTGACATTGAACCTCCCAATTATACTTTCCCTAAGGGTGATGACTATGTACAGTAATTTGAGTTGCGTTCAGTTGTTTGAACTGTTTCTTACGGATCAGTTATTAGAACAAATTTTGGAGCAAACTAGAAATTACACTCTTTAAAAAAATTGTCCTGATCCTCTGATTACTATTGAAGAGCTAAGAGTGTTTTTGGGGATACTCATTTTGAGTGGCTACAATCGAAAAGAAGCTACTGGGAAAATGTTCCTGACATGAGAAACGAATTGGTTGCCGATGACATAAGGCGTGACCGATTTTTTTTTGCAAATATGCAAGTTCATACAATTTGCGGATAACAATAACATATTCGAAGGACAAAATGTATAAGCTCCGTCCTGTTACAGACTATTTAAAAACCCTGCAAAAATCCAGTTTCAAAACCAAAGGCACCAGGTTGTGCTAGTCGAATAAGCAATGATATATGGTTTGACAAGTTGAATCACTTCGTAGTTTCAGTTCCTGACTGAAAACGCCGAAGATGTGGCGAAAATTATACCAGCTAGGGAATAACTGTGTTCCAAATGCAGTGTCGGCTTGTGTGTGGAATGTTTGAAACATTTTCACTCTATATAATAAAACAAATGTTATTTCTTTATTTTTGATTATTACAAAGTAAGCGCCTAAAGGAACCATATGGACTTTTATTACTAATTTTAGGAAAAAAAATATTGTTTATAAAAAGTCGATGGTTGTAGAACCTAAAATACAACCATCAAATATCAAATTTTATCAGTCGTATAAGGAATAAAGCTGCTTTACTCTTGAGTAAAATTCATATTTTTTGACAAACCTTGTATACAGCTCAAAAAAATTTTTAAATTGTATTTCAAGTTTCAAACCATGCAGAACTTTTTATAAAGAATGACTATTTTTCATAAAACTAAGAATAAAGTTTTCCATATATGGTTCCGACTTGGACACACTGTATAACAAAATATTGTTAGAAAGTAACTGAATGATTAAGCACACGAAATATTTTGTTCAAGCTATTTATGAAATATAAAGACCAAATATAATTTTTAATAATTATTTAAAAATGAATTACTGGAATATTATAAAATCATCTTAAAAGTGGCAACACAACAAAATATAATTTAATGAAACATAACTTAAACATGTTAATGCTAGGATTAAGGTAGTTCACTCGCGACAGTCGTACACAAAAATATCGCCTAATAGTGAATACCAAAAGTTCGAGATTCTCAATGCTAAAAAATGTTACTTTTGTAAAAGACTGTACACAACACATGTAAGCTTATATATAAGGATATACTCCTAAACAGTTATTATTTCAAGTAAAATCCATCCGGCAACGTCGCAAATCTATGAATGGTGGGCTATCAAGTGATTGAGTATGCCTATAGAAATTTGTGACTTCCTGATACTAATTTTAAGGGTTTGTTTTGGTTCAAACAGAACCGTCGATTCCAGTTCTCAAATACAGTGGACAAATTAATTTTTCAAGAACACGTCGCAAGCTTATAACAATCTCTTAGCTGATCAAGTGTAATTCAGTGATTCTGAACTATAGGTTGTGCAAAACAAAATTAGATGAATATTTTTCTTGTATGATTTAATTCTATTTTTTAACATTTTCTATAATCCCTTGTTAATATTAAATTAAATTCTCTATATTTTAAAAGTCGAGCAAAATGCTTGGCAAATATGACGATATTAGTGACGAGCATCAAACTTTGTTTTGCATTAATTATAGCTTCCGAAAGAACAAAAAAAAGAAAGTAATCTATCAGACATTTGAGTTACCGCGCGTTAGGTGTAGCAATTACAATGTTGCCAAGTTGTAATCATTGTACCCTACTACGCGTCTACTGCTTTAATCTTTTTACCAAAACGGACAAAAAATTGAGTGTTTTTTTAGAAAATTTTATAACTTCTTGATTTACATTACATTAGTTTTTAAAAATATAGTAAGAACCGTTTTCGAGATATCTTGAAATAAATGCATTGCTTGTGTACATGACAGGCTTCAAGAATGTTAATTATGCACATTTTGATTGTTAATATCTCGTTTCACAATGGTAAAAAAAAATCTTTTTTTTAGTTATGTAAAAGACTCTTTCATTAACCCTATATTTCAATTTATTGAATTCTTAAAAAAAGCCGTTTTACGAGTGATCAGAATAGAATTAAATTAGCTTCCAAATGAAGTTATGACACTTTACAATATGTAACTCGCTAGAAGGTGCTAAACTCTAAAGTAACGCAATGGATTGTCATATTGCTGAATACTCCCTAAAATCACTTGTTCAATGATGTATCATACTTTGTACTTTCCATATTTAAATTGTATTGGTTAGTGTGGCATTTGAGACTGTTAGAAAGTTGGAATAAAAATCTACCTGTTTCAAGCAATTTCTGATATTCTCTTTATCAGGATATATTGCCAAAGGAAAGATTTTAAATTGGCACTCCGTATGTTAAAGAATGATGAAATATAATTTCCATAAATTTTAGTGTTGGAATCATAATTTTGACTGAATAACGTTTTCATCCTTGAAAACTAAGTTGAATTAGTATTTTCTCCAGCTTGAGTTAGGTTCATTTTATTCACAATTCATTCATAGAAAAAAAAAAAATTCGAAAACATAGACATTGTATTTACTTACGCTCTTGAGCTCATCCCCATTCCAAGCCTTTCTAATTGATCAGCTTTCTTTGGATCATCTTTTCTTAACTGTTCTTCTTTCTTTTGCTGCTGTGTATTAATGTCCTTATAAACCAATCGAACCGCCGCGTCCCTTTCTTCTTGTTCCTTTACAGTCAATGCGGCCATCCTCAAAGATTCCTCGGCAGCTTTGGTACGCTGTTCTTCTGCCAATTCAGCCTCTCTTTCTAGCTCAGCGAAGTTTGTTTTGACTTTTGTAGCCCCAAGGCCAGATTTTTTTGATCCCAGCTGATGAAGATATAAAATAAAGGCATACTCTTAATTTTTTTGTAATGGAGAATATATTGACTTAACAAATGTAAATTGTTTTGAATAATTTAATACTTACCGTTGATTTCTTTGCTGCAGGTTTTCTAGATCCAATTGATGATTTTTTTGGCTCCACTTGTGTACTGTTTGTTAATAAGAAATCTACGCTTGGGCCTTCTCCAGGATTTAATTGATCTGCAAGTCTTACATTTTCTGAAACTCTACCTGATTCAGATACTTCTACCTAAAATGTTTTTAGAAATAGTAAACCATTTTAAAAGCTCGCTTAAATAGTCACAATAAAAAGTTTACTTTATCTTTTTTTTTTATTACCTTTTTCATTATTTAAGTTAGTTTATTCCTAACTATTATATAAAATCAAAATATGTTTTCTGAGAATTAAATTCAGCAATTCTAGTAGAAAAAATATACAATGGTTATATAAAAAATTCTAATAGTAGGGCAAATGTCTTTTTCAAATTCCAATAATGCTGGAATTTGCGTACAAATAATAAATTCAGAAAAAGATTATAAAAAAAATAAGTTGTTAGATATTACCAAACCACATACGATATTTGATTGTGATCTGTATGACGGTTCTTTGGAATTGAAATTATCTTCTATTGAGAAAAAATCTTCTTCCTTTTCTTCTGCCTTTTCTTGAGTTGGTGGATGAACATGCAACTGAGGAATGGAGAAAATGAAGAGGATTAGTGGTTAAAAACAAAAATGCAGTAATTCTCCAAATAAATTTTGAATGAAAGTAAATACATTTTTTTATACTTATTTTTACCAAATTATAATAAAAATATTCTCCAAGCTTTTTTAAACAAATATCTATTAGAAAATAATAATTGGAAAACCACCTCTATGTTTTAGTGCCAAATAAATTTATAAATCAGTGAAATGGTGATGTTAGTCAAGATTAAAAAAAAAAAAGTAAAACAAAGCATTAACATGAAGCGTGGTTTAAAACCTCCACGCCTACCTGTTGATTTTCCTTTAAGAAGAAACCACTGTATTTCATCGATATTGACTAGAAAAATTATTCAAAGTATTATATCTATAATTAGCAGTAAACACAAAAGAGTTTTCTATTAGGTCTGTTTTAATAGAAAATTATGCATTTTACAAATGTGCTTCCATCATAAGTGGGTCACACATATTATAAATACATGTTTATTTTTTGTATATATTCTTAATGTTTGTTTCAATATCTAAATATTGCTCTGTAAAAACAATTTAATGTAAATCACAGGCTGAACGACCTCAGCCAATATCCTTTTGTAACTTTTTATGTTTCAATATTTACTATTATTACATTATTTCTCTATAATTTCTAATAATACTAGGTAATTAGCAGAAGCAATTATCAAATTTTTAATAACTAGAGAAAAATGAAAAAAGATATCCACACCTGCCTTCTTCCTACTCTATCCAACTGTTGGCGAGTTTGTTGAATTTATCTTAATTTACCTCTACTAAAAGCAGTATACAAAGTATGTTGCTACATGAGTATTTACCAAGACCACTGTAAACTCTAACAAATTACATAATTTTGTAATTGGCAACTACAGTCCATTCATTTAGTTTACACCGATATTCAAATAAGAGGAATAAAGCTTAGACGTCGTGTAATTAAAAAAAGCAGAAAAATACAAAATATTATATGTTAATTAATATGGAAAAAATGCAGTCAAGAGTGAATCCACATTTTATCAAAAAAAAAAAAAGTTTTCATAAGTAAACAAGCACCCCAAACACAAAAAAAAAATAATCCCGGTGGTCTCATGAAATTTACACCCTCCCCTAAATTTGTTTTCCATATGTGCAAAATTAAAAAATTATGCGTTTATTCATCAAAAGGTTTTTTAAAGCCATTTTAGATCCTCTGAATCACATTTCAAAATACTTTTTTTTTGCTCTGGAAACGCTTAAAAATATGTTTTTTTTTATATCGCATTTTGATTAATTTCTTGATATAGAATATGCTAAATTAAAAAAAAATTAATTCATTTACCTAACCTATACGGCCTGGAGACATCGGGGTTACCTCACAAAAAAATAATACATGTCGGAGTTTGGATAATTAGGGCGTCACCGTTAGACATTGTTATGACAAAACACTACATTTAACACTTGTAAAACTTGTTAATGCAATATAGAACAATAAACAATGTTGACAATACTTTAAACGACGTTACACAAATAATTATTAAAGAAATACGGATAATAATACGATATCAATTATTATTCAATTAAAGAAATGATACTAGCGATCCGGAGCCAGCGTACCACCGCCCGATCGATCACACTTCTCCAATCTGTTCTCATTCCTTATTTTCTATCAACATCCTGCTGGCTCCGTTCCGCCCCCCTTGCCCCTCACTATGAAAGGCAAGAGTGTATCATCACTTATAAAAATCAAGTAGAAGCTTACAACTTATCTTATTGAAATACCGACTACCAATAAATCAAACTTCTTAAAACTATAAACAAAAGTTAAATATCAGCGCCGTCGACATAAATAAAATGAGAAAACCTAAATAATTTATCTAACCTGTGAGACCAGGGGCAATCGCGGGTTGTTTCTTCAAAAAATTATATATGAAATAAGAAAAATTTTAAAAAAACTTAACTAATTTACCCAACCTATAGGTCCTAGAGGTATCGCAGGTTATTTCGCAAAAATTATACAAAACCTCACTAATTTACCTAACCTGTGTGGCCGGGAACCATCGCAGGTTGTTTCGTAAAAAAGTATACATAATAAGGGAAAAATTAAAAAAAACTTAATTAATTCACATAACCTGTGCGGCCTGGAGTTATCGCGGATAGTTTCGTAAAAAAGTATACATAAAATAAATAAAATTAAAAAAACCTAATTAATTTACCTAACCTTTACGACCTGGAGACATCGGAGTTACTTTTGTTTATGTGTCCATTGCATCTCCAACGAAAACCATCTACCGATTTTGCAACACGGCGTCATTACAAAATAGCCATCACACTTATCCACTGAACATTTAATTTTATTATTTTGGGGTATTACACTCAAACGCTGCACTTGCAATATAACATTATTATTTCGCCATGTAAATATATCATCTAAATTAATACAATAAAGAAGAAGTGCAAAAACTAAATATTAAAAAAATATATTTCAAATCGACTATCACTTTAAAGTATATCATGTCACTATAATACAATTAACAATTGCAGTAAACTAGTACACAAACGTCACATCACCTGCATTGGCAAATACAAGTGAAAAAGTGAAGATTTTAAAAGCGATTAAATTTATTTAAATTAGTGTCTGCCAAGTTTTTTTTCAATTTTAAGCTTTCAATGACATATACTTCCACATAAACTAAAAATTTTAGTAATGTGCAGATTCACTCTACACTTCATTTTTACCATTATTAGTTTAGGTCAATGTTGAATTCAACTAGTTCTAAAGAAAAGTCAAAAAAAGTCAGACTTGTCAAAATTATTGCAAATGTTTTTATTTCCTTGCCGAAAAAATCACGGTGGGCCTTTAATACAAGTGCTTCAGATATGGGGAAGCATTAGGAATCGGCCAGTCAACACTTGAGAAGGTACTGAAAAACCAGAACGTAGTAGAACAGAACTAACAAAAACCGCTCCAGAAGAAAAACTGAGGACCTTCCTGATGTAATAAAATTTTAAATTCGTGATACCATTTACGACATGAGAGCATTCAAAAAGTATGTAACTTTAGATACAATTCACAAAGAAATTAAAAATAAAGGTATTGTAAATGTAGGAAAACTATAAAACATTGAATTTAAATTTAAGGATAGAGGCAATCATAAAGTATTATGTGAGAACCCGGCAGTAGTCAATAAGCACATTCAGGTCTTAAGGAAGTTCCGAAGTGGTGCTTCTTTGTTTGTGTATTTAGATGAGACCTGGATTTTTAATATTTTAACTTATTTGCTTAAATAATTGTTTACATAAATAAAATAAATTTAATGTTTTTAAAACATGTAAGAAAGTGATGGACCATATATATCATCAAAGACAGGCAGAAGCCTGTTGCTACCCGTCTTATTTTAAATTATGAAAAAAGGCAAATAAGAAAAAGAAATTTGCAGTATATTTCAGTACTTTATTGAATATCACTGTAAACTAAATGAATGGACTACATCTCCTTTCTAAATGTATAAATTAAAAAACAAAAACAATAACTCATTAGTAATGTTCAATATCAAAAAAGATTTTTCTAATAATTGATTTACATTTTTTAAATTTCTCGAATCATATAAAATTGTATAAGGTATCAAATAAGTATTGTAGTTTTATGCAAACCTTGCCACAAACTATTTTTGTCAAATAAACAAAATTAAAATTCATTTAATATATCCTACCATTCTAGTTTTGTACTAGCTTGTGCTTATTATTTATATTTGGGTTAAGTGGAAAAACAGATTTTGTGGTGGATCCTCCTTCTCAAATCTGAACTTTGCCCTTTATTTTCAATAATAATTCTCGTATAATTGTTAAAATTATGAAAATTGTAAATTTATATTGGAAATAATAAAGACGATATTATTATTATTATTATTATTATGTTTAGTTAGAACTGTGGGCCTCGACCTTTTCAGATCTATTCTGGATATCCTTTAAGCATTGGTTAGAGTTACCTACTCAGTAGACTCCATAGACTAGGAAGTAGCTCACCTGCATAGCTAGTATGCATTGGTAACATATAAGAATCTATTAGACATGTATTATGTGTATGATCAAAAATATTTTATCAATAGTCAATTTTCAAGTAGAAACTTTACACATACATTTGCACAAACCCTCAGAAAATTGCCTAAAAATCTAATATACAAAAAGTGCAGTTAACAGTGGCTTTATGAAACTCCCTATTTCGTATCAAAACCTTTTATTATTAAGACTAGTCCATATGCCCACATTATCATTATCTTAATGGTTTATTCAGGAGTATCTTATACTTAAAATTGTGTTTATTCAATTATAATAAGGTTCACTTCATATCAGCTGTCTAAAGTGATGGAAATACCCCAAGTCCTCTGACAAAAGAGTATCGCATTTTGAGTTACAGTTTGCAAGTGTCTTATTTCAGTTGCGCTTTGTTGTTGCTTAGTAGTAGCGTAAACGTTATTAAGGTGCGTTTACACGAATACAAGCAGTCACTTTGAAAAAATTAAGATTACATTTTATCTACAAATACTAGAACAATTTACTTTCGTACTTTATAAATAAATTTCCCAGCTGAACATTGTTTTTTTAGCGTTTTTAGAGTTTTTAAATATAATCCAAAACAGGTGCAAATTCGTGAAACAGATTCTTTGTTAAAAAAATATAATAAGAGGCACAGAAAATATTTAATGGATAACTCATATACATTTTTTTAATCAATATCATTTTCTTCACAACTGGACTCTGATTCAGACTCATCACTATTGCCATTGTACCTAAATTAATAATTGATTCTAGATAAGAAACATCTAATTGCTTGTATTTTTCCCAATCGAAAACAATTATGTTTTTAGTGTGTCTTACATAATTGTTCCACTGAGTATCAGTAACATTATTAAAAGTTTCTAACCGAGTCTGAAATACATCTTCCGGCGTCTGAAATACATCTTCCGGCGACGACTTTGTTGTTAACATTTTTCTTCATAAAACCATTTGCACTGTGACCACACCATCTCTATCGTATTGTACTGGCAGTGATATAGAGGAGTTCTTAATATTTTATGCCCACATTTCTCAACACATCTATCTAGGTGGATTTTTTTTTCATGGTAGATTTTGCGTACAACTTCTGAAATCTGATATTTCATAGCATTGCATTGATTGGATAATTAATGTTCTTTTTCTGCAACAATTTTACCATTTTATCTTTTGTCCAACTATAACATGGAATTGGTTCCACGTACCGTGAATGATATCTGGCATTATCAATTATAACCAAAGAAGGATGTTCCAGACTAGGTATAAATTTCGTCTTAAATCATTTTTCAAAATTTTTGTGTTCATATTAATATGGTAATCCCCGCTTTTTGTTTGACTTTTAAATATAAAGTCTGCATTTTTTATAAAGCCTTCTTCATTGCCACCATGGACAATTATGTATCGAATTCCATCTCCTCTTTTTTTTTACTTGCAGCAACCATCATTTCATCTGTCACTTCCCTTGCTATATATCAACATCCCATCCATAAATACAGGCTTAAAGTTAACTAGCTCTATATCCTTGTTAAAAAACATTTTACTTTTTTTTTTAACTGAATGGATGTTCGATATAATAAAAACTATCTGTTCTTGCTTCTTTTAAAGTGAAAGCCAATTTTTCAAATCAATGTATTGACTGTGCAGAACATTACACATCAGGCATTTCTTCCGAAAATCGTTTATGAAACCATTTCATTCTTACATGTTGTGCACTTTCCTACATCTTATATATAACTTGCCTTAACTTACTTAATATTAAAGAATTTACTTTTGTTTTACTTTGGCTTACTTTTTATACATTATTTTCACTTACTTTGTATCATAATTTGTTGGTTTACTAAGGTTATAGTTTTATTTGAACTATTTAATGCCTCTGAAGCCATTTGACTGTACCTCTTTCCAAGAGCCTTGTAAATAGATGTCTTTTAAAATAGGAAACTACATTTAGGATTAAAGTTTTTGATTGATCAATAAATCGTTTCAACATTTTGTTGAATACTTATAAAAACTTTTGAAATATCAAAATATACAAATTTTTAACAAACTGACAAATTTAAAATTATTTTGATAACTGCCACCTGACATAACAACATAATGTAATTAATCTATGATGTGCCAAAATCTAGTAACTCTTTGTTTCATTCATTTTAATTTAAACAATAAAGAAAGTGACTGGACTTGGAGTATTTCTGAGACTTTATTTGCTTTTAGCATATTTATGCTTGACAAGACTCGCCACTGACTTATCTGACCATATGTAAGAAACTGAGGTTTAATTCTCTGTGCAGACAATTTTTTTAATCAAAATATTCCAATGAATTGAGGTCAGTTAAAAACTTTATAATGTAATTTTATTGAAAGGAAATAACCTGTTCTATTCTTGCAGCTAGTTGACAAATTGGTCAAATGCCAGCATTAATATTAAAAAAATGATAAGAAATAAATAGAAGATATTTAAAAAAATATCACCTTTGATTTTTTACTTTGATTCATTCATAACTATAAATATTTCTTGAATAATATAATATTATATGCGATTTTTCAACATTAAATTCTTGTGTCAATAACACTACTACCCTAGTCATTGACCTCATGTTCTATGTTAAGGTTGGTACTACTATTAAATTCAATGCAAGTTAAATAACAGTTTATTATAATCCAATAATTGTGAATATTTAAATGGGAAATTCCACTTATTCATGAAAATGAATTTGTAATTGTTAATCAGAAGAAATTATTGCCTTGTTTACAATAGATTTAATAAAAACTCATTGTTTTTTTTTTTTGCTTAAAAATTTTAAATAAGTACATACGTAATTTTCATATCTCTTTAAATATATAAACTTAAAAACAGTAAGACTCGCCCCTATGAATTAAACATTACTTGATACTTTTAAATTGATAATTATAAATACAGAACATACCAACTCAGCAATCAATTTTAGTAGTAACTAAGGTTGCCACCTGTCCTTTTTTGAAGCAAAATGTCCTTGTGACTTTTTAAAGCTTTAAATGTCCTTTTTTTACGGATCTTTTTTATGGCAAATGTTTTTTTACAGCACATATCTTTAGAAGGGACATGGATTGTACAAAAATATATAAGCTGAAGACTTTTTTTTAGAAGTTCAATAGAAGGATGAAGACTTTTTGTATACCAGAGTCCCTGTCAGCATTGTAGTCCTTTATTCACTTTTCAAAAAGGTGGCAACCCTAGTAGTAACTGCTAAATTAAGAATGTAGGTGTTTGTGATATTTAAAAAAACTTACTTGTGCACCAGTTCTGAGAGAATTTGATGCAGTTTGACTCAATTTTTCTCTGTATAGTTGAGCTGCTCGAGAGTTATACTTCTTCTGAGCATCATTTGTATTGCAATTATGTTGACTAAAAAACTGTAACTGCAAAAAAATAAAAATATTATTCACTAAAAATAAATTACTCAATCAATTAGCATATTGAAAGTAGAAAAGTGCCAGATCATGTAATTAACAAAGAATTGTATATTTATTAGTATTTGATATAAGATTCTCAGTTCTTTATTGTTGGCTAGTTGAGAAACCAAGTAAAACTATTAAAAAAAATCTGACATAATATAGAAATGAACCCCATCTATTTAAAAAACAGTCCTTTGTAACATTTCTTAATATTTCAATATTTTAAAGTCACTTTTAATTTAGTTGAGAGGCTTATTTAGCGACTTTTATCCTTAGTGGCCTGTTAAGACATGGCAAATAACTCAATTGAACTGATATACATTTAGTTAATAAGTTAGTTATAAAATTTATTTCTATTGTATTGGTCAATGAATACTCCCAAACCCGAGCCCAAACCTTGATATGGTAATTGATAAATTTCAACACAGTTGATCCAACTAAGTTAAATTGTTATTCTTATTACTAATAAATATTTATTTTCAATTTAGCCATAAAAAAGACACTGGAAATTTTTCTTCTATCATTTCCAATTGAATCTGTGAAATTGCTATCATAACATTAAGAACAGCTTGATTATTTTATGGTTGCTCTTCTCTAGTTAATTTATTAAAATATACTATTACTAGCAAGCAATGTAACTGTTTGGTGACAATTGGCTACTTGCACCCAAATAAAATCCCTTAAAAATACCTATCTAGTTTTATAGTGTAATTATTATATTCAAAATCGTTCTATAAGTACATTGATAAGAAATAAAGAACATACTGCATTACTGTTTCCACCTAACTGCATCTGTCTCAGCTGTAATGTAGTCCAATTTGTATCCAACTGTGTGGACCTCACAAATGTAAGATGAACACCTAGGCTTCTATGGACTGCTGAGCAGTCTATACAAATGAAGACACCATACGTTACACTAGCCCATGTAGGATTCTTGGCATTACAATCGAAGCAAACCTAAAGAAATTTGGGTAATATATCGGGACACGTCATTTCTAAGAAGTATGTTAAAGTAAAAGTTTTATATATTGATTCTTACCTTATTTGTTTGAATTGATCTTAGTCTATTAAATACTACTTCAATGTCTTCTTTCGAAGGCTGCGACTCCATTTTACAAGCTAAAATAATTTAAAATTTAAGGAAAATGTATGAAATACGACTACTGATAATCACTTGTAGTTGGAAAGTTTGACTTGACTGTGACATTTGTTAAATTAGTATTTTGACATTTACGTCATCAAAAAGTACGTTCATTTTGTCATGCATTTTAGGACAACTTGGAAATTAATTAAATATAAATTGTAATGCTAATCTAATTACAGTTGTTGAATAACAAGATTATAAAATTAGTTCTCACACCACAGATATTAGCTAATTAAGCATAATTAAAATATATAAAATTAATAGAAGTATATTATTCTATTATTCGTTCTTACACTATTAATAGACAATGACGGAAAATTGGTGAAACCCCGACTTCTTACTCCGAGTAACCAAACCAACAGAGAACAATGCACCTTGAAACTCGTACGTTTTTGATTGGCTGAATTTTAACCCAAAACCCCACCCCTCACTTCAAAAAACTTTATCTGTCATTTGTCAACATATTCCGGATTCCGGTTGTTGGTTTTTTTAACATTACGGATTTTTGAAGAAAGCTCTAGAAAAATCAAAAACTGAACCTATTAAAAATTAATTGTAAGTATGTTAAGATAACTGAATTATTGTATTGTTTTATAACTATACTTTTTGTACATTTCGTAAATCTGCTTATTTATTTTGATTTCTAAAGGCTACGTGGTCATAAACTTTTCATAATTTCCAATTTTGAACCCTGAATATGTATTTACAGTATTCAGTAATTGTATTAACTAGGAATTTTAAACGTGTTTGATTAAATCTTCAAAATATTATTTGGAGCCTCATAACCTTAATGTTATAAAATTTAATTAAATTAATAGATTCTTTTCCGAGTTCAATCACTTTTGTTCATTGCACACACCTTTTTAAACTCACAATTAACTACTTATTAATATTAACTTATTTTTTCAGAATTGTATGTCTTTGAAGACATTGCAATGAACTGCAGAATAAAAGTGTTCATTTTTATTGTCCTCATAAGTGCAGGAGCATTAGGTGAAAATAATGATGTAAGTTTATTAGTTATCTACTTTTAATTCATAAATACAGCGAATTTTCTCTCTCTTATCCCAATTGTGCATGATTTACAATTATTTTAGGTTTACTTATATGTATAACATTATTTAAGAATAAGCTGCGATCATTATTACCTTTTTGATCATGGATTTCTCTAGTTTTTATTGTTTATTCTTTTGAAAATAATTGTGGAAGTTACATTTTACCCTCACAAGGCTAGAAAGAATTAAACTGTATTATAGATGTTACTAAAATTGCAATACTACAATCAATTTATAAGTTTTAAACAATCTTAAGAAAAGTCATATTCAAACCATCGATCTCATGATGCAGTAGATTTGGAAGGAAATCCAATATATTGTGGCTGAATTCTATGCTGTTGATCAATCAAATTGATTGATTTAGATGCATTGGATCAGAATTTAAAATACTAATTATTAGGTGTTTGTTTATAAAACCTTAACAGCAATACTTTGACAAAAATTTTATTCTGGTATGCACTAAAAAAATGTGCAACTACTAGGTAGTATTTTTAACAATCTTTATAGTGATTGTTTGAAAGTTTTAAACAGTACTACAGTCTCTAATTGTTTCATATTTAACCTACAATTAAAAAAGCAGGTTTTTTAAATGATACTTCAAATGGTTTTGCATATTGATTGTTTACACATCGAAAACCATTAAACCTAAGGTTCTTTCATTTGTTCCACTGGTGTAGGAAAGAACTACACCAATGGACACTAAACCTTTCATTTGGCTCGGTGTACAATCCACTACACCTTCTTGTCGGCGATGTGGTTTCCACTGGTGGATATTTTCTCCAGCTATTTAGATAAATAAGGCAGTGTTATTGACACTAGTGCACACTGCACCAACAGTGAACGAAAGAACCTATAATGACACATTTAAAGTGGTATTTGTGATTCATTATAGTGGGATATAATTCACACTGCATTTGATGATAATCTCCCATTTTAAAACAGTTTGTAACCTTTCCTGACAATTCTGACATTGTCAGTAAAACATACTTTGAAGTTTTAAGCGTTCTAAGGTTTCTTATGTAATCTTCCAATGATTTTATTATCTAAGGTGAACAGTTTATAAGTTCCTAAAACAAAAGCTACAGTGCACTTAGGCATATTTGAAAAGGGTAGGCCTCATGAAGCTGATTGTGCATCTTTCATGAGCTTTTTGTTATTTTGTTAAAGACTATATACTTGCTAGTTATAAATTATTAGTATGTGAAGGTCGATAGAAACATGTATATAAAAAGTGTGTAAATACTTTTATTAATTAATCATAATTAGTAAAATAAAAGAATTTATGTACTTTTTATATAGAATTATTTTCTTTTTCAACCTTCATAACATTTTTTACTGAATATTACTTAGTTTTAAATTTATAATTACAAGCATAATTTATATTTATAATATTGTCTTCCTTTATTTAGTAAAATTTCATAAAGTTTTCAAACAATAGTTATATGTAGAATTTATTTAAATAAACAATGAAATCTGAACTGTACACATTTGTTTAAGTAAAATTATCACCTTATTTATAAATTAACACTGAATAACTAGTTGTTTTCTTTAGATTGAGCAATAGATTGTATATTTTGATTAACTTTTTAAAAATGTAATGGGCACAAGGACTATAGAGAAAGAAAAAGTTTATCTATTGCTGATATAACATTATCATATTTTTTAATAATAATTAAAATTACTAGGTACCTACCCTTTTTACCATTTTTATTAACTGACTTCAAAAAATGAGGTTCCCAATTCATCAGAATATTTTTTTAATGCATGTTCAGTGAGATATTTCTTTACTACGTTATCTGATTTCTATGATTCTTTTTTTGTTAGAAAGAGGGCACCTCAGAGGGGTCCCATATAAATTTGGTCAAGATCTAATAATGGGGTCCATGAGAAAATTATCAAATTCTTAATTTTTTAAGTATTTTCAGTGATAATTCTTTAACGCATTGTCTGATTTCTATGATTCTTTTTTCGTTAGAAAGGGATAAATCAGGGGTAGTTCCATATACAATCAGGATCTATGAGAAAATCAAAAATCGCATGGTTTTGAAGCCGGTTTTTTTAAATTACTTTTTGTTTCAATTGATCTTTATTCTTATTTTTTAAATAAATTTGATAATGAGCAAAACTAGCATCCACCAATTTTATTAGGATGAAGAAGTGACAGTAGAAACAGTAGAAGAAACTATCCCAGATATCAAATATGAAAGCCCTGTACCCATCGACCCTAAAAAGGTCTATTTTGCTGAACACTTTGATGATTTAGCCCATTTTCAAAAACGATGGATTAAATCACAAGCCAAAAAAGATGGTATAGAAGAGGAAATAGCCAAATATGATGGGCGATGGGAAGTTGAAAACTCCCAAAAAGACAATTTACCAGGAGATAGGTAAGTAATTGTTTTTTGCCAAATTATATTTGTGATTATTTAAAATTGACTCTTTAAAAAATTAATTTAAACGTATGTATTTTGTTTTTCTTTGTAATATTGCTTATTACAGGTGTGATTTCTGAAACAAGAATAGTTTTGGATTAAATCCTTAAAAAATATATCTTAAAACAATTGTAACAGTAGTCTTTATTTTTAGGATAGTTGTATAAAATTTTCTATGTAGCCTGGGGGGAGGTAATTAGAAAGAAAATTCGGAATGTTAAATCAAATTGTTATTTTAACTATTAGAAGAATTTCTGATTTTGAAGTCTGTGCGATTTGTTCAAAACAAAAGTATTTTTACATAATTTAGTGATCATAGTAAATGTGGTTCTTAATTTATACTTCAATTTTCAAATATTGTTAAGTATGCACTAAAACCATAAGTGAACTACAGACATCCAACTAAAATTATAGTTCATAATCTTTTATTTTATATATTCTATATTCCTTGTTTTTTTACAGTGGCCTTGTCTTAAAGACAAAAGCAAAGCATGCTGCTATTTCAGCACATCTATCGAAACCGTTTGTATTCGCAGATAAACCATTGATATTGCAATATGAAGTACTATTGCAAGAAGGTCAGGAATGTGGAGGAGCTTACTTGAAATTATTAAGTGAAGGTACTGAAACTAAGAACTTGAATAACTTCCATGACAAAACTCCTTATACAATCATGTTTGGACCAGATAAATGTGGAAATGATCATAAGTTACACTTCATTTTTAGACACAGGTAAAATTGCTTTGACTATTGAGTAATACATTAAACTATAAAAACTCAATATACTATGATTTAATTTTTCAAGCTGTTAGATAATATTTGTAATTTTTAATGCTCATATTATACTATACTGACTTTTTAATTTGAAATGAAACTAGAAACCAAAAATATTCATTTACAATTGTTAATGTTCAATACAATTTTATTCCTTGTTTTATTTCATTCAGCAGTTCATAATAATTATCGTTTAATAGTCACCATTATTGAACTAATTATTTAAGTAATATTGTAATTTTGTTTAGGAACCCAATAAATGGAAGTTTAGAAGAAAAACATTGCCAGAAGCCCAAAGAACGAATCGAAGAATATTTTTCAGATAAATTGCCTCACCTTTACACTTTAATTCTCAACCCTGATAACACATATGAGATTTCTGTAGACAAGAAGCTTGTTAATTCTGGAAGTTTGCTTGAAGATTTTGTTCCTCCTGTGAATCCTCCTGCTGAAATTGATGATCCTAATGATAAAAAACCTGAGGATTGGGATGAAAGGTACAGTTTTTTTTTTCAATTTAAAACTCTTAATAATAACTTTCAAACATAGAGGTAGGTTATATTTTTAGTTAAAAAAATTCCCTATGGGAACTCCATTTAGGTGAATAATTACAGTTTCTAAAAATACATTGCATTTACATTATATTAAGTGATGAATAACCTGAAGTAAATAATAAATTGCCACTTTTATATTTAGCCGAATATTTGGCAGGTATACTTAACTCTTTTTTTTTATATTTAGTTAAATTGAATGGTTTATATTTAAAATGTTAATACATAGTAGGTTTGCAAATTGTATTTATCATTTATAAATTATTATGGTCCACGAATCAATAAGGGGGAATGAATTACTTATTCAATCATTATTTAATATATATTTTTTGGTTTAAAGTATTCTGTAAACAATAATATTTGTTTTACTAGGAAAACAACTATGTGACACTTTTTTTAATGATACATCAATTTTTCCCTTGTACACTTATTATATGGCTCATTTGTTTTGCTTCCAAACACGTTTATTTTGATTTTAAACATCCACATAAATACAATGTAAAAATATATTTAAAAATATTTTTGCAATGGCAAATTCAAATTTTTTTTATTTCTGAAATTGGTAGATTTAAATATGGTACTGGCACAAATGCCTGTGAAAACTACAGAGCCAGACTAGCGCAAGCAGGAAAGAAACAAACCCAGCATTGCCACTTATGCGGCTCGACTATGTTGTAAAGTTCGCCAGGCTGTATAAGCTGGCATCGCTGGTTTTTTTTCTTTTCTGCTTGCTCTAGTGCTGGCTCTCCATAGTTTTCCAAGTGATACTAGAAGGTATTCGTTGGCCGAAACTATAAAAACATTTTTTAAGTTAAGGGTTTTAAAATTTTGAAAGGGTACATTTCTAATTTGATATGTGGCAAAATTTCCGGAGTCGCCAATTCGTGATTTAGATTAATTTTCGCGCGCCTGTCACTAAGAGGGATATTTGTGTAAGTTTTAGGCGGGCTTTTGTATATTTGATTTTTTAACTGTTCTAGATGTGTTAAATCATTATAATGTATTCAACAAGATTAAAACACTTCATATAAACAACTTACCTTCAAATGAACAAAAATCTTCATCTATGAAATGCAAGAACACTGGCATTGAGGTGAAAGGTTGTTTTCGATTTTTATAATTTTTCATAATCAAAAGTACATCCTTTATTACAGCAATATAGATACAATTTACTGGAGGCTTTTTCGCAAATTTTATTTTTAATAATAAACACTATCACAGTTATTATACCTGTTGCCCTCGACTTTGTTTGCAACTTTGCTCGCACGTAGTCGTGTTATTATTATAAAAAAATACGTGACTTCCTTTTTTATTAATTTTTATTGATTTTCATTCATTTTTATTCATTTGTTTATATTTATTCATTTTTATCAATTTTTATTCATTTTTTCCATTTTTATTCATTTTTATTCATTCTTATTCATTTTCATTTTAATTCATTTTTATTCATTTTTATTCATTTTTATTTATTTTTATTTATTTTTATTTATTTTTATTCATTTTTATTTATTTTTATTAATTTTTATTCATTTCTGTTCATTTAGTTTTATTCATTTTCATTCATTTTTATTACTTTTTATTAATTTTTAATATATTTTATTAATTTTTTTAATTTTTAATAATTTTTAATAATTTTTATTAGTTTTCATTAATTTTTATTAATTTTTTATTAATTTTTATTAATTTATTAATTTTTATTAATTTTTGTAAATTTTTATTAATTTTTAATTTTAGTTTATCTTTATGACACTACCATACAAAAATCTAACCACAGAGCATTATTTATTTATGCTACAATTATAATTTTCAAGTTCCAATGTTCAAAAAATGTATAATTTTATACACATTTTTACCCCCGTTTTCCCCCCTTAAAATGTGAAAATCCAAAAACCATGAAACACGTCATTTTTGATTTTTACTCAGTAGCAGTAATTCAAATTTTTAGGTTTTAAATTATTTTCAATTGACAACTTCTAGTTTCACAGTTGTGTTTACTAAGGAATCCTGATTGTGCATTACTTATCAACTAAATCATTCAAAGGCAATATCGTAAAAAAATCATCAAATCATCAGGCAAAATACATATTAAAACATGTTCAAAATGTGCATTATGGGTGAAAAAATGTCCAGCCATTTCCCTTTGTCAACAGTTTTGTGGACAGGTATATTATTTTTGAGTGCATTTTTTACCCTGAAAAATTAATTTATTTTTAATATATTATCTGGTATTACACAATATTGTTTTAATATTAAATACTATTTCAGTATACACAGTAATGATTAAAATGTTATGTTGATCCTCAACATATTAAATAATTTATTTTATTAATTATACTCGTGATTAATTTTCTTTTAATTAAAGTGTTTTTCATTAGAATAAAGTTAATTATTGTTTTTCATTAATTTTTTACAAAGTAAACAAGTATTGATACCTAACCTCCCAATCAGCACACTTTTTCCTTGTTGCGAACGTCCATGATACTTCAACCACCTTTTCAATTGCTCACAACTATGTGCTTCTACTGAATTATAAGCAAATGAAGCACCATTAATGATTTTTTCTGTAGAGATATTGCTTTCCCAGCCATTGTTGACCAAATCACTACGAAACTTTTGAATTACCGCTATTTCAACATAGCGGCTGCGCTTGCGCTCACCTCATGATGAAAAGTCCTATTAGATAGAAATACCTAGGTCGATCGATGGCATGTTTAAACTAAAATAGATATTTTGTTGTACTTTCAAAATATTCTCTTAATATGTTATTTAAAGCCTAAATACCTTTTATTACTAAAAAATCTAAAAAGATGAAACATGTTTGTTTCAACAATATTTAGCTAAAGTACTTTGCAATTTAATAATCAGCTCAAACTAACAGAAAAAATAGTTTTCCTTCACTATATCTTTAAATACAATTTTTTACTTTGTTAAAGAGAGAAAATCCCAGATCCTGAAGCCACCAAACCGGAAGACTGGGATGAAGATGCTCCCGCCCAAATATTTGATGAATCTGCTGTCATGCCTAGTGGATGGCTAGAAAATGAACCATCACATATCTCCGATCCAGATGCAATCAAACCTTCTGACTGGGATAGTGATATGGATGGTAAGTAAAACCGAAAAAAAGGAGTGTGCCACTTCAAAAAGTATTACCATACTTTGTTGATCATTTTAATTTGCATTATTAAATTATTAGGCGAATGGGAACCACCATTGATAGAAAACCCTGCGTGTACTTCGGCACCTGGTTGTGGTCACTGGGAACCACCACTAATTAATAATCCGGCTTACAAAGGAAAGTGGAGGCCACCAATGATTGACAATCCTAATTATAAAGGCAAATGGAGGCCTAAGAAGATACCTAATCCAGAATTCTTTAATGATGAACATCCATTCAGAATGACTACAGTGGTATGTATTTCTTACTCCTTTCAAAGGAATTAAAAAAAAACATGCTTCTAAAGGTTTTGTGTTGAGTTTTACATACAATCTATTCTTTTTTTTTTTATTAGTCTGCTATTGGTTTTGAGTTGTGGTCTATGTCACAAGATATTCTTTTCGATAATATAATTATTACTGAAGATATTACCATTGCCGACAAGTGGGCTGCAGATACTTTTGACAAAAAACGTCAGAAAATTGCCAAGGATTCTGTAAGTATATAATGATTTTTTCCTAACGTGGATACACCATTTTTTAGTAATTTTAAATATATCAAATTATGTAGTAATTTTAATAATTATTGATCTGTTAAATTTGTAAGAAAATATTTGCATAATTAGGTGATTTAAGGTGTCCTTAAAGTCTTTGGGCAGAAATATTCACATGTCAACGTGCAGCAAGATGGCTGTAGCTACTTTTGTTGACTACCTGTTGTCACTTATTTATTTTACTTCATAAGAAACTGGTTTGCCAAATTGCGACTGCTTAGTGCAGTCGACTGAAACCACACTTTGTAGTTCGTCCATTTACGCCCTTTATTTGCATCCATTTTAAAAAGTGATTTTGAAACTACATTTTGTTTTACATAAAGAAAACATGGTGGGGTAAAATGCTTAGAGGCATGAATTATCGACCAAAAACATGGGCAGCTTATACTATTTACTGTCTAGTACCGGTAGTTTTATATATCTACTATCTCTATTGCTGTATTCGAGAGGTGAATATCAAGCAACAAAAGTACCTAGTGTTTTTGTAGAATTAATGTTGATGTAATAATTTTGGATGGTTTAGCGAAATGTTTTAATTTTGCTAAGAGAAACAGTAATTTTTCTAAATTAGATAATAGATAAACATGTTTTTTTTACAAATCAATTAAGCAGGAAAATTGTGAAAAATAAAAACGTTTAGCTAAATTTATACACCCCTCTGTTACTATCCTCTGCATTCATTCATTTACTATATATTTACATACAGTATCGGCTATTGAACACTTTCCAATATGCTTTGCACAAGTTCATGTGAAAACTACAGAGTTAGCATTAGATCAAGCATTAAAATGTTCAATGGCCAACACTATATTATAATACCATCCATATTAAGCCTAAAACTAACTTTTTATCGCTAGTATTTTAAAAACTGTAATTTATTTTGTTAGGAGAGCTTAGTGCAAAGGTTGGCCAGTCTAACCAATGAATATCCAATATTATGGGCAGTTTACATACTTGTCCTTGCCGTACCAGTAGTTTTTATATTGTACCTATGCTGCAAACCAAGTTCTTCAGCTAGTCAGGTAGAGTAGTTATTTTACCTATGATTTTTAGTTTTTTTTTTGTTATAACATTTTTTTAGTTTATTCATAATGTGCACTATATTTTGCATTACTAGTATACATGCAATTGATCCTCTGCAGAAAATGTAAAGGTTATATATTTTTTATGATATATACTATTAACACATTAATTTTATTGTATTAAAAAATATAATCACGTTCTGCCGTGGTTCAATTATTTAAAAATGTATCAAAATCAAGCCGTTACCACTATTTTTATTAAATTAGGAAAAAGAAGAACTGAGTCAAGCAGCTGAGAAGAAAAAGACTGATGAAGCGACTGAAGATATAGAAGAAAATGAAGTGAATGAAGTAGAAGATGAAGTTGAGGGTGATGGTGATGCGATTGATGATGAAGAGGAAGAGAAGAATTCTGAACCAGATTCGGAAGAAGATAATGAAGCAATAGAGTCTGGAGAGGTAAATAATAATAATTGAAACTACTTCTTGCATATTCTCTTTTATTTGGTTTTATTCATATTATTTTGTATATCGTCGTTTCCTTTAAATTATCATCGTGGAAAATAATAGTGGGTATAAATTATTAATTCGACTTTTTTATATTTATTTTCGGGTACATTATTAAACCAATGTTTAGCAAAGTGTGTAGAATATAAACCATTGCACACTAGACAAAATATAACTATTCTGAAGATTACATTTAGGCAATCTGCATATTGTCTTTATAAAATAATCATTAATCATCACACATATTGCTCCATTTTCTTTTTGTTTATAGGGCGAACCAAAAAGTAAACCATCGGCTGATGGGACCAGAAAGAGAAAAGCGCGAAAAGAATAAATTGTGTACCATTCTAAATTCAAAGGGGCATCCATTTGAGAATTTTTGCCAACACCAATTTTATTTTCGAAATACCTTCTAAATTATTGTTGTGTTGAGGTGGTAGCTGAATTTTTTTTAACTATTGTCTCCTGTATCTTATGTCACATTGTGAAATGTTTCTCTTTCGTTAAATGCGTTATTAATAAAATTGTATTTTGATAAAATAGCGAAGAAGAGAGTTTTTTTGCGTCATGGAAGATTGTTGGACTAATATTAGTTTTAGTAAATTATATTCGTACTATGTCTTGCTTGTCGTTTAGAATAAAATATATATTTAGAATTAAATAGTTAAGAATTGGTAACTTAACGCAATTTCACTTTAGTTTCTTGCTAACTTTGAAAATATTATAAAAACGTAAGAAATATACATTAGAAAGTAAAAAATGTAATATGTTACTTTAAATATTAAAAGAGATTGTAAAGAATGATTTGTAAGTGGGAATCAATGATATCAAGCAAGAACCTTCTGAATTTGTGCAGTCTAAAAGTGAGAGTGAACTTTTGACTTTATTAACTACGCATTGTGATTTACCGACCTTGAAAGAAGAAAGTGCTGTTCTTCCAAGCTATTTGGATCAGCTTATAAAATATATTTTTTGTAATTTCTTGATGTGAAAATGTGGGCTATTAAACTTTGGATCTTTTTTCTGGAAGCTCTTGGTTCGCATTGCAGCTTTAAGATTTTCCTGTTCATTTACTTCTAATAGCGCTCACGTTTAAGACTAATTGCCATTTTTTAAATTATTATGCACCCCATTATAAAAAGTTTTTTAACATTAATCAATTTTCTTGTAGCACTGCAACTTTAAAGCAGATTGCACTATTGTAGCACCTTATTTATATCTTGTATATTGACGATCTTTTGCGATTCAATGCCTTTCAGGTCATCAAGATGTATGATACTGTAATTATTAGGTTCTGTCTAGTCCTGGGACAGCGTCTATAGCTCTATATACCTAACGCCAGCCTGGACGTTACCTTCTAATTTTTTTAGCACACCAAAGAATGTTTATAAAATAGTTTCTTTTTTATTTATCTCGAGAAAATAATATTTGACGTTTTTGGGTATATATAATAATTTCTAAGTTAGCAATTTATTGTGATCGAACAATTTTGTAATTTTTATTATTAACTGAACTGATATATTTATTTAGTCTAATAATGATCCATAACCCAACTTTTCTCTTGATCAATACGCATTTTGACGTTACAGAATAATTAGTACACTTAGTAATAAAGAGTTGTTTATATATAGTAAATTATTATCGAGAACGGTAAGATTTTGTACATATTTTTTATGTATTGCTAGAGTTGCAGAATTACGGACCAAGTGTAAGATTTCATTTGAGCTGAATAAAAGTATCACAAGGAAAAGTGTTTTAATTTATAATTGTCATTGGTTTAAGTTGTGACTTCCCTTAACTGTTCTTTTTAGTTTCATAACTTCTAAAACGACCAAGGGAGTTCTGGGAATATAAAATAATTAGATTCAATTTCAAGGAGGAAGTAAAAGATTATTCTTGAAAGATAAATAACTGGAATTCCAGCACAGATATTGTTCTTGAAAGATAAATAATTCCAGCACAGGAATAGGGAAATGTCAATATCATATAGATGGTGTCATTGTCATAATATACAGATTAGGAAGAAGTTATATGAGCCATAGTGCATTCGCACGGGCATCTCTATATTTTATGTACAACAGTGTTTACATACGAGGTAAGACAAATTAGCGGACTGCACATGCCTTAAACGTGAGGCTTGATGTGGGGGAGCAGGAATGGAATTTAGTTGACCAAGGGTACCAAAAAATCTGGCACACGAACAAAAAATGAACAGGAAAAACATTGCTTTGACATGGAACTTCTCACATAATATTCTGAACTGATTGAAATAGTCATCACTTGCAACAGAACGTGGATATTTCAGTGCAGGTTACACGTTATTACGTCCTTTTATCTAGTTTAGTTTGTTTTTAATCCTCGTTTTTTAAAATTAAATCAAGATAACAAAAACTAATTAATATAATAGTCCAGTCATTATAGTAAGTTCACCTCGGAATTCGAGATACCCAGCTGTAAGTCTGTAAATACTTGTATATTGACACCCTAAAAGTTGTCTCAAAACCTACATATGGTAGGGCGTACGCAACTATTAAATTTTAAGGTCAAAGGTCACAAAAATCGTTTTTTTGCGCTTTTTTTGTAAATATGTCATTTCCTATGGGTTTTTTGCTATTTCTATTTATTATCAATATTGTAGAATACAAAATTCTCTACAAATTTTGTTTAAAAAATAGACGGCGGAGAGAGCGCGGTCACAGCATCACTTCAGGTCAACCGGTGCCTCCGGTCGAAAACGCGCCATATATAGTTGGTTAGCTATCGATAAATCAATGATTATAAATATTTGTCAATTTTTATTAACTATTATATTATATTTTATAATTTTTTCCTAACCTTATCCACTTTTTATTCAGTATTAATTTATTTAACAACACTTACCTGCCCATGTAATTGCAGAATTGTTAATGAAAATATAGGAATTATATTTGAATTTTAACCTAATTAATATTAATAACTTCTTACATGATGAAAAAAAAAAACAAATTATGAATTAATCTTTTTATTAAAAAATATCATTCAATACTTTTATTTTTATTAAAAGTAAAAAAATGGAATAAAGGGTACAAAAACTACAATTTATAGTTTTAATCATCTTCCTCTTCATCGTCGTCTTCCGGCTGCTGGTAAATTTCAAACTGGTCTTCATTATCGTCTTCAACGACATTTGTTTCAAGTTCTTCCATGATTTCGGGGTCAAAGGTTCCATCTTCATTAATGTCGTTCTGATATGGTAGAGCATTGAGACAAGCTTGCCCATTACATTGGCCACAAGTCCGCTTTCCTGCATCCGCATCGCGAACCACAACCACTCTTGCAGTTGCAGAAAATTGTATTTAGCAAATCTTCTGGAGCAGGTGGTAAAATTGTCATGATAGGCTCCAGAAAATCGTTTCGCATTGCCCAACCCCATACCTGGTAATATTTGCAGCTTGTAATTTTTCAATTAACATATTAATGAGCATATCTTTGTTATTTCGATTTGATAAGAATTTTTCTTGAGTAACTGGTACAACCATTGTTTCATCGAAACAGACTTCATACGTTTTTGAAAATGCAGCAGTTCTTCTCTGCTGCTCCATAGCTTTTACGTTCTTACTGTAGTCTGAATTTTTTTAAACAATATTTGTAGAGAATTTTGTATTCTACAATATTGATAATAAATACAAATAGCAAAAAACCCATAGGAAATGAGATATTTACAAAAAAAAGCGCAAAAAACCGATTTTTGTGACCTTTGACCTTGAAATTTAATAGTTGCGTACACCCTACCATATGTAGGTTTTGAGACAACTTTTAGGGTGTCAATATACAAGTATTTACAGACTTACAGCTGGGTATCTCGAATTCCGAGATTCTTACCTAATTTAAGCTTAAATGACTGGACTATAAACAATGTGTAAATCCAGCTCACAAAATGAATAAAGCATATTTAATAATTTTAAATGGATTTTCAAAATAAATAAACCTAACAGTAACAATAAGTAGAAACATAATTTCTACTGAGATATTTTTTTTAATGACATTTATTAACTTACCGCTATTTTTTACAGTCTCGGCACTGAACTGGTAATTAGAGATATCAGATGAGAAGTGAATTTTAATAAAAAGGTTCGAATCATTGAGAGCCAGCCAGATCCCCCACCTAGAGAAATTTTCCTCTCTAAGCATATTGCTATCGCCGATAATTAATCGAATACTATTTTATACAGGATGTCACACAATTAAAATAACATTTTTAAATTAAATTTTAAAATGTACAATATATAGCAACAATAAACTACTATATACTTTTTTAATTATAGCTTAAAATTAAATGATTCTGAACAAAATAGTATACAAACCCTGGGCGGAAATTATTCATGTCTCTGCCTAGGTGCTTGCACCGAGATAACTGAAAATCGAATGTTCGGCGAACTGTGGTATCGAGTTCAATTAAAAAACAGTTAAAATAAAAGTTTATCTTATAATTTTTTGTATAGCAACAGTCGTTCCTGACACAATAGAAAATACAAATGCAATAAATAACAAAACATTTTTCCAAAGAATATAGTTCCACTTCCCCCAATCGTTCCAGTTCACTAGGAGATCCGTAGAAGCAGGTACAAGAAGTCCTAAAATTGAAAAGAATACTGCTCCGGTTAAATCTATAAGCGAGTCCATATTGTGACCCGCCACTGATGCCACCAGAATAACAAAGGCAACAGTTGAGATCCTTAAAATTACTTGCGCCAGATTTTGATACTTCGGTTGAATTTTTGGTCCTATGTGCTTCCATAATATTTCAGTCGGTACATAGAAGACCAGCATGAAAGTAAAAAACATGGCTATCGATATGCAGGATTGTACAACTTGAGCGGGACTGCAAAAGAAAATGATAATCAATAAAAGTGAATGAGATAATAAACATCACATACAACCGATTGCCGATTGTAAGAAAGGTAGCATCTCTCAATAGCATATGAACTTTGTTAGACTCATCTCTTTTTTATTACACAATTCTTTAGATACCGTATTTATTTAACACGTTGTACACGGAGTGGCATTTAACAGATACCTCACTGCTTGTCCTTTTTGAGATGGTGAGGCATCATTATGATGCCACAGTCAGAAAATTAGCTACAAACATAGGAACTCGCTCGTAGCCGTCTATAGTAAAATAGAAAAGTTTACCTGACATTTAAAAATAAGAGACAGATTTTGTGGGGAGGCATCAACGTTAAACCACAAAAAAAAATAGTTGACAAAACTTAAATTTTGGTTAAAACATAAAATATATAAATTAGGCTTTATCCGAGTAATATGAATGTCAAAAAAATTCCCATCCTCCGACATGACTTTTTTTCACTCGCGTACTCAACGTGTTAATCTAGTTAATTTGCATGCACCATAATTTAATAATAGGCAACATTTTACCTTTTATTTTAACACATCAAGAACTAATTATCTTAATTGCCATTATATAGGATGTGTAATAATTACTGATGCCCTTCCTATGGGGCCTCAGTATTGCATTCGTGCAGACGAAAAAATTTTCTTACCCCCATTTTTTAAAACTTTTTATGTTTCCGATCATTCTCAGTGCGAAAATGCAAACAAAAATTTTGTCTGGTCGTCTGTATGCCGGCACAATAACTCTAGAACGAAAGTTGTGATTGACTTGCGGTTTTGATTTTCTTGAATAATTACTTCAAACTTAGAACCCCATTGATTTTCAGAATTTTCGGTTCATTCTAACTACTTTAATATCAATTTTCTTAAAATCCACTTATGCATTTCTTGTGACAATTTTAGGAATTTCAATTATTTCTAACGTCAACATTCCTAACAGTCCATAAATTGCAAACATTCTCTAACGACCTGTCAAACAACAGCTGTTGATAGTAAAGGTGAAATTGCTAAGGGGGGTTGTGACCTTTATATTTGCAACTATAGCCATTTTGGAGGCTATTTTTATTCGAAATTAGTCGCCAAGCCTGTCAATTTATGAAAAACATGTAAGCTGTTTCTTAAAAATTACTTTTTTATGGTGGATCTAACTTAAGCGTACTACTATTTCGCCCCTAGCCACAAAAACACCTTCATCAAATTTACTAGCTCTCTGTCGCAACCCCATAGAATAATAACCGGCCATTTTATTTGGCAAAAATCAGAATAATGCTTGGCTGTGCCTGTCAATAAGTATCAAGATGTCAACTGTGGTGTGTGAATGGCTCTTAAATGTCAAATTATTTAAAAATGTATGCATCTTTTGCTATTTATTGCAAATAATTTGTAGTGTATCTCAATTAAGGCTTTCCATAAATAAAGGTACAGCAAGACAGATAATATAATGTTCTTCTACAAAGCACTTTTTTATTATATAAAAGAGAGGTAGGATAAAATGCTGGTTTACATATTCAACCAGCGAAATGTAAATAATAATTAGTAAACTCCTAGTCATAAATTTCCTCAATTCATATAATTTAAAAATGAATCTTCTTACCTTGGGATTTTAATGACTTAATGTGATCAACCCATTTCAAATTTTGATCAATTATGATACCGAGGTATTTGTTGTGTTTTTTATTTTAATTATAAAGTTGTGATTTATTTGTATGTTGAAAGAAGGCCTTTGTAAATTACGTTGCTCTCTATGGATCTACTTTAACACAAAAATAGTTTTGTGGCTATAAGTTGCTATAACCTATCGTTTCAAAACTATTAATAATTTAAACATAGTAAGTAGTAAAACGAGGGGTAAAATAACAATAAATTAAGGGAAATACTTAAAAAGGGCAGGTTTAAAAAGTATTATCACAAGAAAGTATATCCGAGTTATGGCTTGCCGTGCATGAAAGTCAGATTGGCTTCTTGTATTATAGTTGTGATATTGCGAATTATATTGAATTTTTTCTAATAGATCTGATGCGATGGTACTATGTAATTTTTATTTTATAAATAAATATCAGTCATGTACTGAACATAATTCTGAACTGAAAGCCAATTTATTTCTTTTAACATAGTTGCAATACTCATCCTTCTGTCCTTTATTAATAGAATATAAATAGGCGAAATAAGGAGCCCAAATATTTTACATGAGCAGGCTTAAGAGGTAATGGGGCCAATTATTATTGGAAAAATTGCTCGAACAAGTTTTTAAACCCTAATCAAAAGGCGATATAGAATAGTTTTAAAAATCAAGGCTTGTGAAAATCATCACATGGTTGAACCTATGTAATGCCAATATTCAAAACAAAAATTCAACGTCCTAATACTACTATTGGCTTTCGGTCTTTCGTTCTAAGTTAAATCATTTCTCGTTTTTGTTACGCTACGAGTTTACCCTTGTGGGCCTCAGTCTCGATAAGGTGGGAACCATCATTTTAGCGTCTCTCGAATTTTAATAAAATTTGTGCTTCATTTTTTTTCTTGGGAAAGATAAACTGATAGTAAGTGCTTAAACAAACCCATATATTGTATATATGTCAGAAAAATATTTACCACACGTCGCATCTGATAAGCTAGATGCTACATCCCGACTCCCGAAACAAGGGTGAATTTGTTATATTTATTAGAATAATCAGAATTTACAATTCTATGGGTTATTTTGATGACTTGGAGACTAATTTTAAAGTTCCATAAATGTTCTGAGAAGGCTTTTTTAGTGTATTCAGTGAAAAGACCTCTTCCACCTTATTTTCGGTCCATTGGCTAATTTATCTTCAGTCCTATAAGTGTTTCATTTTTCAATAGTGGTTGGAATAGTGAGTTAATACGTAACTCCAATCTTTGGAGATGCTTTTGGCTTCTTTGCTGAATTATCTCTTGCACTGTTGTAATATGGGGATCTGGATGTATCATTCGGTTAGATACATAGCAGAGGAAGCTCACAAAATCTTGGACTGCGCCCTTTATGAAATAGCTGTACTTGATTTTGTAGCACATCCCCACAATTCTGGGCTGATGTCCAGATTGGAATAATTACAGCTTTTCATTTTCTCTATAAGACGACTGCTTCTTTTTAGATAATATACACTGTTACCTTTAAGGTGACTTCTCTCGTTATATTTTTTGGTATATCGAAAGCTTATTGTATTGTTAACTATAAGGTGATCAAACAGACGGACATTTTAAAAGAGCTTAATTTTCTCTCTAGTGGTTTTGCAGGAATGCATATCCAAGTTATTGCATTCTTTGCGTGACTTGTCTTGGTGAGACGGTTGCCTCTATGGTGACCACTCCGGATTAATAAATAGCGAGTTATTTAGTACCTCTGATTCAACCTCATAAAATTTTTGTTATACAACTAAAAGTATTGCGATTGTCGTTCTACTTTTGTCGGCGATATCATTTTATTCGTTGTGAGGACCCCGCTGCGTAGATTTTAGCGATAATCGTATTTTCTTTTAATCGCTACGATTATCGGTTTTAATCACGGAAACGCCGTCCTAAAACTAATTTCGAAATCTGTGTTTTCGACGCACCTCCCTACCTAGTGTTCCATCCGTTGTATAGTAGTCATGGAGTCGTCCGGGGGACAGTTACATCAGCATGGTTTTATTACAGGGGGGCTATTTTCAAACTCTAGAGAATTCATTTCTCTCAAGAGAAATGTCATACGTCAACGTAAAACCGTATTTTTAGGGCTTTTAGGGCCAGTGTGATATCACTGACTGTTTCTCTCGGTTTATTTAGAGAGAATTAAAATCTTCCTAAGAATTTTAATCCTCGATGCCTTTAAAAACAACATTTACACATTGACGTATGACATTTCTGATGAGAATCTTAAGAGAAATGAGTGCTCCCATACTTTGAAAATAGCCCCCCAGGGGGGCTATTTTCAAACTCGAAAGAATTCATACGTCAACGTAAAACCGTATTTTTAGGGCTCTTAGGGCCAGTGTGAACTCACTGACTGTTTCTCTCGGTTTATTTAGAGAGAATTAAAATCTTCCTAAGAATTTTAATCCTCGATGGCTTTAAAAACAACATTTCCATATTGACGTATGACATTTCTGATGAGAATCTTGAGAGAAATGAGTGCTCCCATACTTTGAAAATAGCCCCCCTGATATCATGTTGTAATTATGTGTTTAAAAGGGAAACATATTATGTGAAGAACCTTAATAGTAGGGCCTAAAACGGTATTTTCTTCACGTCTCTGGACATCAAAGCCTAATAGAAAAGATACACCAAAACTGGGCCTAACGGGCATCCCCTTCTATATCAGGCATTCTTTTGTCGACCAAATTATTTTTATCCATGCAGTGCACAACCATAAAGTATGGTATTGGGATATTAGGTAGTGGATAGGCGTGACGCAAGATGAGTTTAAACTTGTCATTTACATATTTATATCTTGCCATACTATTTGTGATACCGCTGTACTTCACTATATCAGAGAATACGTATTCAGATATTCTACTAGCGGTGTATATAATTGTGAACTAAAAGGGGATAACAAACATGCCGTAGTACTCTAGTCATACTTTAGCCCATTCATGGGAGCTTAATATCCCTCTGGTTAGAAATGAGATATGAAAAATGTCACACTTGTGTTATGTTAAACAAAATAAACATAAATTTCCCGCTATAAGAAAGAAGTTTAAAAAAACTATTCTTTATCTACCTTTATGTTTACTTTTTGCTTCCTCCATTACAGCTACAATATAATTTTATTTTGGGGTCCTACTAGACGTATTTTAGGCAAAGGTTTTGAACATTTCAAAAACCAGGTTAGGACCCGATTTGTCAGGTTATACAAGCTTCATATATTAATATTTTCCATGGCATTTTTGATATTTTGTTTAGCAGCCAATATAAGTCTTTCATTTTCAGTTCTATTTACGTTTAATATTTATGTGATCTTTCCTGAGCTGGGTAGTACTCGACTAAATTGTACTCAAAATTGTACTCGAGTACTCAAAGTGTAATTGATACTCGTAAGTACTTCCATCCCGATGGGACTTGTACTCAAAAAATTACGAGTACTTTATATTTTAGAGCACTCAAAACTTTTTATTCCTACAGCTGACGAGTAACAAGTACGAGTACCGACGCGCGCATATAAATTATAATGATTCCACCTTGGATAGGTTATACCATTAGAAAATGCTAGAGCTATTACGGTTATGGCTTCTTTGGCTTCCTACAAAAAATTCAAAAAAATAACTAAAAATAATCTTTATCGATAAATGTTGAATTTGAAAAAAAATTTTAATCTTTCTCTTCGTTTCTTTCTTTTTGCTCCATTTTCTTCTGCTTCCTGCTCTAACTCCTGACTTAATGTACCTCTTATCAATTTCAAATAATTTATCGAAGCCAACGATACAGAACGAAAAAATAAGAATGTCGAAATCAGGGCAGAATATGTTTTAAAATATAAAATATAATTTCTTTGAGTTTTTCTATCGGTATATCTGACCCTACCTAATACTCAATTACTTTACTTTAACATTAAAATGAAAATTTGGGTGTACACGCTAATGGTAAGTGCTAACTAATTTATAGAAGATAAGTGATACTCTCATTTTTTGTTTGGTAAACCTAACAAGCAAAGAAATAGCAAACCAAAATATGAGGTAAATAAAATTATGCTATTCTGTTCTTTTAAAATGTTATATACGAGGTCATTTGGTATTCCCACAGCGTTATTAAGTAAGAAGGCACTTTTCTCTTTAATTTTGTGAACTGATATTTTTGTGGTTAGACTTTATCATAGTTATTTTAAGCGTTGTTTTAAATGGAACAGATACCTGAAATAATTATATCATATACTTACATTCCTTCGTCTGGTAAATTCTGGGTTATAGCCGCTTTAGTGTCGGATCCAAAGGCTAAGTAACCAAAAAAGCCCATTGCGGTGTAAAGACCGACTACTAAAAACATGGACACATTTAATACTCCTACAGGACCTAGAAACTTGTCTTCAGTCTAAAACACATTAGAATTATAAATAAAGTTTTTGTCTGACTAGAATATTTTAAAGAAATAATATTAAAAACATTTTCAACGATAATTATTTTCTTATTCAAGTTATCACCTATATTATGCTTATTTAATTGAAACACAGACGTGTAAAAACACTAAATATAGAATATGTTGTGCTGGAGTAAGTAGAAGTAATATAAACACAAAATTAATCCTTAAATGAAGATTGTGCGTAACGTTCTTTACAAATATTTGCCTTGCAATTTACACAATCTGTTTTTAACCTATGATTAACAATCTGCATCTCATCACCCACCTCAATACTGACAGTCTCTACAGTGTATGCAGATGATCTGGTCATTCTGTAACCAGGAATTTTGAGAATATTCTCTGCAAAAGAATGCAATTGGTGCATGGACCATTCACCAAGAAGAAGGATGAAAATTAAACTAAAACCTTCCAGAGCTCCTTAAGACAAAAATAAACTATGCAACAGAGGTACGAAGTATCTAGGTCTCACCTTTGACAGCAAGTTAACATGAAAATCATACCTAGAAAAGATAGTCAAAAATCATACATTGCTTATGAATAATGTTGCCGAACCATAGGGCGCACCTGGGGTCTGCTCCAGAGTCGTCACATAGACTTATACGACCATCATAAGACCTATGCTAACATACATCTATCTGCAAACTAGAACAAATTCAAAGAACCACCATGTCTCAACATAACAGGAGCCATGAAAACCACACCAACTAGAGCATTGACACGACTCCATACGGATAGAATAGAACCTGATGTAGGATCTGGTGAGGTGAGACGTCGCTTTGGGTAGGAGGCGCTCGATGCGTTTCAACTGCTTCAAACGAACATGGACTTCTATCTCACCGAGATTATCAATTCGTTATATAAAGTTATAACGGAACAAATAAAAGAATCGAAAGTGGCAGGTACGATTCATATCTACACCGACGGTTTTAAAACAAAACAATGTTTAGGATGTGGAATATACTCCAGATCCTTAAACATAAACATAAAATAAGCTATGAGCAATACTGCCCAGTGTTGTTCAAACCGAGATCACGGGGATTCTCATAGCAGCAAAAGAAATTACCAGAAACAATATCACTGGAAGGAACATGATAGCAGAAAAGCATTACTCATCCTGGGCAGACCACGAATTTTCTCAGGAATAGTACTAGTATGTCACAAAGTATCCATTAATAATGTGGTTACCTTAAGATGGACGAAAGGTCACGCCACATCGAAAGGTAACCGTCTGTTGCCTCACTAGCAAAGAAGGCGCAGCTATAAGGGGCGTTGGTGAAGTTGAAATGGTCAATTAAAAGGAGTCTAATATAATAATTTTATTTATGACATCAAAATTAGTCATTCATTTTCCATCAACATAATAACATAACATCAAAACTATAACAACACACTAATAAATAAACACCAGCTCCTACAGCAGCCAACCAAGTACTTTTTAGACTTGGCCCTTTCATTGATCTGACAACATCGGTAGTGACAAACCTATTTAAAGAACATTCCCTTTTGTGAAATTCAAAGAAAGATGAGACGAAACAAGAAGCTGCAGAGTTCCCAGGAAGCTTTTAAGTTGCCCTGATCACCACAGCAAACAAATAAATGACTGTGACTGCGCTTGGTCACATGCATTCTGACTGGTTATTGATAAGTACGGATTATGTCCATAGCATGAGGCTGTCAGAGTCCGTACTCTGTAGGAGGTGCGATTAAGAAGGTGAAACTATTGAGCGTATTCCCTACGATTGCCCAAGGCTCCTAATTTTTAGATTTGCGTTCGTTGAGCTTTGGCTAATACCGGTCGATATAAGAGACGCACTTCTTGGCGACATTGTCAACTACATCAAATTTGTGGGCTGACTGACGAGCTAAGAGGTCCCTATCAATTTTAAGAGGATACAGATATATTATTCTCCAGTATACGAGTATAATAGTCAAACCTTGAGTCAAACTTAAAAAATGCATAGAAATCTACATTGTAATACTAAACAACGTAACGACTCAATGGTTGATTGTAGAAAATAATACTACTACATCGTCACAGTTATTGATATTCGGTTGTATCCTACGTACATCCACGTTATTCTGCATCTCGTGTTGTATATTGATATTGATGATCACTAGTAGGCTTGTTTATTTATAGATTTGTCTCTCTAACTTTATAAGAAAACAAGTGTGAAAAAATATATACAGCACGCTTTTTTCAGATATGTTTACAAAATCATGTTTCTATTTTTATTCGGTATATTTATCTTTGAATGTCAGCGGAATCGGGCGAATATTTATGTAAAATGACTCTAGAATAAAGGCGCACAAATACATTGCTTTTTAGAAAAAGTATCCACTTTAAGTAACTTTTAAAGGACTGATAATTACAAAAATCAAAAAAATACGTTAATTAATATTAGAAGGGTGAAATATTGTGCCATATTTAGGTTTGCTGAAAAAGTCACCCTTTCACCCCTGCTATATCATCCTTTCAATTTTTTTAAATGGCTTCCCAATTTTTTTATCCATTTTTGGATTCCTCTCGTTTAACTGATTTTATATGTATAAAACATGGGGTTTAAAGTAATTAGTTTATGATCTATCTTTATTTCAGTGACAAATTTTTATATCTCACATTACCGACTGCAGCAAAATTGGATTTAGAATACATTATACCTTAATTGTACTGCTAAAAACTTGTTGAAGTTTTTTATGATAGCTGGTAAAGGTTTTGGAGATTGAAAAATTAACTTAAATCACTTTCATACGAGGGTTGCCTTTTGAGTTTTTACAAAAAGAAACAGAAACGAACAAGTTCGAAACAAAGTGTTTTATTGCTTTTCGAAATATTCTCTTTTAGGGTATAGACATTTTTGCATGCGTTCAAACCAATTCTGGAAACATTTTTTTCACTCTGAAGCTGATATTGTAGAAACATGGTTTTGAAAGTCTTCAACAGCTTCTTGAGGTGATGAAAATCGCTTTCGACGCATCTTTTGTTTGACAGTTGGAAACAAGAAAAGTCATTAGGCGATAAATCGGGTGAATACGAGCAATGAGACATTAATTCGATGTTTTCCTCCTTCAAATATTCAGTTGTTTGACGTGCTTTATGGGAGCTGATATTGTCGTGATCGTGATGAAGAATGATGCGACGTGTTTTGTTCTTTTTCTTTATTTTATCGAAGATCGTTGGCAAACAAATTATTGTATACCATTTGGCATTAACAGTTCTTCGATCCTCTAATGGAATGATTGCGACGTGTCCAGTACAACCGAAGAAACAAGTGATCATTTTCTTGGAAGTGCTCCGTGAACGAACAACTTTAGTGGAATTGGGTTCATCGTTAAACAACCAAACAGTAGACTATTGTTTGTTTTCAGGTTCATACGAATATATCCAAGTTTCGTCTCCTGTAATAATGTTGTATACGGATTTTGAACGTCCTCGGTCGAATTTTTTCAACATTTCCTGGCACCAATCAACACGACCCTTTTTTTGCGCTTCGGTCAAATTATGCGTAATCAATCTGGAATATATCTTTCTTACAACTAAATGTTATTGCAAAATCGATTGTATTGCAGTCTGCGATATCCTAAGAGACGCCTCTGTCTAGCTGTAAATCACATGCCATTCTTCTTTAATCATGTTGCGCACATCGATGTTTCTCGGAATGAACCGATTTTGGCTGACCTTCTCGACATTCATAACTGACAGACGCACGACCATGATGAAATTCTACAAACCAATTGAAAACAGTTTTTTCTGATGGTGCTTCATTACCAAAAGTTGCACGAAGCGATTCTATGCATTATTATTGAGTAAAGCCTTTTTAAAATCATGAAAAACATCAAACGTAAGCCTTCACAGGTGATTTCCATTTTTGCTTCTTTTAAACGTTCACTATCAACAACTTACTCAGTCAATTTCTAAATTGCCACTGGTTTCGCAATAACAAACGTCAATGTTCACAAATACAGTGATGCCACAACTCATTAACGCTACCTATTGTTTCATTGTAAAAACTTAAAAGGCAACCTTCGTAGTGTATTTTGATACATGTTCATATTGATTTGTTGGGGTTATTTATTTGATTTCAAAATGGTTTACAGTTTACAAGAAAGAATTGTAGGTTTATACTATAAAAATAACAGTTCTGCACGAGCTGCTGCTAGAATTTTCAATGAAACACACCATGGATGTTATTCAACTCATAAGGATGTAATTGAACTTATGCATAAATTAATTTACATCAACCGGGTCAGTTGGCAAGAAAAAATATAATCAACTGGGACTCGTAAATAACGAAGAAATCGAAATCACAGTTTAGGACATGTAAGTCTTGATAATCAACAACCACAGTCACTGTCAATAATAAGCAGAGAAGTAGGTGTTTTATCTTCCACAGTTTTTCGAATATTACACAAGCACAAGTACCACCCATGCAAAATAATCGTCGTCTTGAATTTTGTGAATTAATGAGTCAGCGCTTGACTGACAATGCACATTTGTTGTACAACCTTTGTTTTTCAGTGAATAATTACTGAGGCCCTTCCTATGGGGCCTCAGTATTGCATTCTAGCAAACAAAAAAATTTTCTTATCCCCATTTTTAAAAACTTTTTTTCACGTTTCCGATCATTCTGAGTCCGACAAAAAAGGTTCGTCTGGTCGTCTGTGTGTATGTATACCAGCACGATAACTCTAGAACGAAAATTCTGATTGACTCGCGGTTTTAATTTTCTTGAATAATTACTTCTAACTTAGAACCCTATTGATTTTCAGAATTTTTGGTTCATCCTAACTACTTTAATATCAATTTTCCTAAAATCCGCATATGCATTTCTTATGTGACAATTTTAGGAATTCAAATTATTTCTAATGTCAACATTCCTAACATTCTTAACATTCCATAAATTGCAAACATTCTCTAACGACCTGTCAAACAACAGCTGTTGATAGTAAAGGTGAAATTTCTAATGTGGGTTGCGACCTTCATACTTGCAACCATAGCCATTTTGGAGATTATTTTTATTTATGAAAAATATAGAAGCAGTTTCTTCAAAATGACTTTTTTATGGTGGTGCTAATTTAAGCGTACTACTATTTCGCCCCTAGCCACACAAACACGTTCATCAAATTTACTGGCTCTCTGTCGGAACCCCATAGAATAATTAACCGGCTATTTTATTTGGAAAAAAGCAGAATAATGCTTGGCTGTGCCTGTCAAGTATCAAGATGTCAACTGTGATGTGTGAATGGCTCTTAAATGTCAAATACTTTTGATATTTATTGCAAATAATTTGTAGTGTATCTCAATTTAGGCTTTCCATAAATAAAGGTACAGCAAGACAGATAATATAATGTTCTTATACAAAGCACTTTTTCATTATATAAAAGAGAGGTAGGATATAATGCTGGTTTTTTGTTGAAAATTTTTATTATACGATTTTGGATTACATATTCAATTAGCGAATTGTAAATAATAATTAGTAAACTTCTAGTCATAAATTTCCTCAGTAAATAAAATTTAAAAATGAATCTTCTAAACTTGGTACCGAGGTATTTTGTTGTTTTTTATTTTAATTATAAAATTAATTAAAATTAATAGAAAATGATCATAATCTTTTTGAAAATTTGCTTGTATTTCAACGTCAATTTTTAAATGAAACTTTCCCCGCTCGTTGAGTAGGTAGAAGAGGCTCGATGATGAAGTGGCCACATAGATCACCGGATTTATCACCCAATGCTACCTAACCAGAATCTTTAGAAGATTAATGACAAAGAATATAGAGTATAAATGCCGAAATTTAAATGCAGACGCGTTTGTTAATGTCAGAGAGGATTTTCAAACTAGATTAGACCATTATATGGAAATAAATGGTGGTCATTTTGAACAATTTTTATAATAAATTTTGAAAATAGAAATTTATCATTGGAAACGCTTGGAATAAAATCATTAAAATAAAAGTTTTGCATAATTCAATTTTATTTTAATCTAAAATTCTGTAGCTCATGAACTAATTACTTGAAACCCCATGTTTTATACATTTTTGAAATCAGTTAAACGAGAGGAAACCAAAAAGGGATAAAAAATGGAAGAAGCCATTTAAAAAATTAAAAGGGATGATAGCAGGGGTGAAAGGGTGACTTTTTCTGCAAACCTAAGTATAACACAATATCACCCCCTTCGAATATTGACGTATTTTTTGTTTTTTGTAATAATCAGTCCTTCAAAAAAAAAATAGAAAAAATGAAATGCACTGAAAACATTTTAAATAAAATGGTCTAAAAGTCGAAAATCATTTTGAAAAAAATAGTCAGAATGCTTAAAGCAAATAAAAATAAGAAATAATATTAGCTAATAAAATATGTCTAAAGTTTTCTGTGTTAAACATTTTTTTCCTGTAAAGTTAATTAATTTATAAAAAAAACAAAGTATTATTTTGACTTACCATTGAATTTTCCACGGGCATTATGGTCCCTATGCCTTCAATAGAAAATAGGACAGTACTAAGAAAACTTGGAACACTTTCAAGTCCTGTAAATAGGCTCCTATCCGAAGTGTCCGTTTCCTTCAAAGTGGCTATCATATAATACAGCGTAATTCCAAATGTGACTGCTAGCGTCATGTTTGCAATCAATGAAAAAGGCACTAAATGTTTTAGTTCTCGAATTTGACACAGAAAACTTAATATCACAAGGCAAATTAATTTAAAGTAAAGGGGCCATGATTCGTCTAGTGGATGGTAAAATGACACCAGCTGAAAATAAAAAATTAAGCCACTTAGAACGAAGTTTTTTACAATAGATTAGTGATAGGTCGCTTGGAAAAGTCCACGGACAAGTCCGACAGACTAGTCTGAAAAGTTGACTAGCAAACACACTTTTCAAAAGTGGAAAAGTTTAGTGCACGTGCGAGAAAGTACATTATCTAATTCAAAAAAGAACAAACGACAAATGTTTACTGACTTTTATAATGTTTTAACGACGTTTTCGAATTTTCATTTCATTTCTTGTTAAAATAAACTTGTGAAAAATTATCAAAAAATTTAAAGATTTGACTGTGTGTCTTCCATGCTCAAGGTCGACTATTTTTCAGTACTTTTCACTATTTTTTCGGACATGTCCGTCGGACTAGTCCAATTACTTTTCCCATTTTTACAATAGATATTAGGGTAAAGCGGTATTTTTTATCATTATTTGTTAAACCATTTCATTTCGGTGATCGATGCGCTTTATATTAGGTACAGTAATTTGCTTTAAAATGTTACGAAATTGTTGATGTTAAAAATACAAAGCGGTATTTTTTATCATTATTTGTTAAACCATTTCATTTCGGTGATCGATGCGCTTTATATTAGGTACTGTAATTTGCTTTAAAATGTTACGAAATTGTTGATGTTAAAAATACAAAGCATTTTTAATAGAACGAATAAATAATATAGGTACGACACTGTTAGCCACAAGTCTATAGTTTAACAAATAAAACTTTATAATTGCTCTCTAAAATTCTAATCTTATAATTAGAAATAAAACAATCTTACCTTTGTTAATGATTCTGAAATAAGCAGAATATAGACTGCATTTGACAGATAATAGGTCAGGCTGAGTGCAACTTCCACAAAAATTCTAAAAATAATTCAAAATCAAATTAATTTTATTTATCTTGTTGGTCAACTCTTAGAAATAGAAAACCTTGACTTGACAAAATGATAAAATATTTAGACACAAATGTACCCATTTTGAATATTGGATTTATTGTCGCTATTATTAGCCTGAATGTCGGTTTTACATCAGTCACTATTCGATGCTACAGTGCTACGATAATATTGGCATAAATAAGAGCTAGTAGCTGCAAATGACACAAAAGAACCCACAGGAAGATACAGATTTTATTCGTTAAGGAGGCACAGAGAGCATCGTATGATTTGGACAGATGTATTGGGACGTGATTCTATGACTTGATAGTTATTCGAAGGATTACCAGATCCATACTATATACCTAGTAGAGTGGTGGAGAAGTTAGAAGCGATTATAGGTACCATTTGGGAATGCGACAGGAAGCAAGCGACTGCGTAAGGCGACAGAAATGTATCTCTTATGTCTAAATCACATGTAATTAAATGAGGAATAACAATATAGCAAATAAACACTAATAAAGATGGAAGCCGTCTGCGATATACAGACAGCTCAAAGACTTAAGGGCAAGACTAGAAGCAATGATCTATAAAGAATGAGTTTTACCAAGATTTGCAAAGGTCGCAGTATCATCTCCATGTTATTGGCCGTACGACTTTAATCAACTACACCCAGTGGGTAACTGCTGTAATTTGAATAGAAATTGGATAATGCTCTGGGCTAGTCGCTCTTGGATTTTATCTCGTATTATATTGAGGGGAAACGATTTAAATCGTGAACCAAAATCCTGTGAGACAAGAATACTCTATCATTCTCTATCAAATAATCTGGCACCTACACAAGTTAGAAGTTTATAATAAGTTCGTGCTGTCGACATTCACTTCAAAAATAGATGAATACTTTATCACCATACAAATAACATAAACAATTCATGAACTATACATTCTGTAAATAGTTATTCATCAATTTGTTTACCTCACAGGCTATTGCTCCAAATTTATTCAAGGATATTTCTATTGAGTTACTTGTCCTTTATTATTTCTTTAGGTATTGGATAGGTTACTGAACGCACCACGATGTTTTTGTTTGGATTATTTTACATTTTTTATTTTCCTTGCTCTACGGTCTTCTGTGATTACATTCTTTTAAAGATTTCACTATTTATCATCCTATTTTGGAATTACGAAAATTTGTTATTTTTATTCAATATAATAAAGAATTTGGTAAAAGACGACAAAGTAGGCATTTTCGTAACTTATAAAATATAGTATATACAGTACGAGCGTGGAAAGTGACATTTTTCGCACCAGTGTGAAATATTGTCGCACGAGGCATAAGCCGAGTGCGACAATCACGCGAATGTAAAAAATCACTTTTACACAAGGGATGTACAATATTTTCCTACGATTAATTTTATCAAAAAAATGTAAAACTAGGAAATCTGGTTTTAGATTTGTTTTTTATATGCCTGATTGAATAATTTTTAAAACGTTTTATAGATAGTGTTTTGTCAAAATTAAAAATATTGTGATGCCATTTACAAACACTTTCATAGGATGATAAAGAAAAAATAACATAAGGTACAAAAAAATATTAGAATACATTAATGTTTTTTAATATATATATTTTTTTAACAAATAAATTGAACAACCGTAAACAACACTTTTTTTATTATTAATGATTACTCATTTCTCTACTCACAATTTTTTTCTGAACAGTAATTAAAATAGTATACAATGAACAGCGAAAACAATATTTTAGGAGTTTTATTATGATAAATAACATGATAAATAAACAAACAACGAAAATCATATTTTTCCAATTTTCGCAGGTTTTCAAAACAAAAATAAAAGATAATTCACCGGGAATTGAACCAGCATCACGAAATGGTTAAGAAATGACAAATTAAAAAAGTTTGGCACTATACAATCTGCGCTATCATGGCTTTATCATTTGGCTTATCTTATTAAATATGTAGGCATGAACCAGGAAAAAGCAAAAATATGTATTTAAAAATTTAATTTAATAATCAAATCGAGTTTACTATTAAAATAGACATTACATCATTCAAAATAGAAATTAGACGTCTGACATATTTGACAGCTTATGCGGAAAGTAGATTCATATTCACACACGAGTGGAAGGTAGATTTATCCACACGCGTGTGATATAGGACACTTCCCAAAAAACTAACTAGTGCGATTGGTGTCACTTTCCTAAGCAGTCGTAGGAAAATATTATTTTCAACTTTTTCTTACATTTGAGTTTAAAAAATATAGGCTTTTGTAATATTGAATAAAAGCCATATAAAACTGTTGTCTAAACAGGGTGTAAATTGAAAAACTATTACCTAAATTTTCATTATCATTCTCAAATGTCATAGGTCATTTCCTTCCCCTTCAGTACACTAACTATAATAACAGATAATTTTCTGCTAGGGGAGCCATTCACGTTTGTGGTACACATTTGCACAAGGCTAATTTACAAATTAATCGTTCATTTTTACCCTGTAGACCAGAGGTTCCCAAACTCTTTTGTTTCATAGACAACTTTCAAAATTTTGCCGGATCCGGTGGATATACATCACTACCAATTTCTAAATCTCGAAAAAAAAAAAAGGTGAAGATTAGATCTATCTATGGAAACTTGCGTTGTGGCTGAGTTTTAACGACGAATTAACAGTTTTCGAAAAAAAAAAAGGTTAGAATTGATTGCATGATAGGGTTAATTATTTGATAATAAAGTCGACTAAACAAATTTTCAATTAAATTTTAATTGATTGTGCTGTGAGTGGATGTCAAAAAAGCAAAGTTGGCCAAACGAAAAAGTGACTCCATCCAACTTTACTTTTTTGAAATCTACAGTGACACACAGCGCAAGAACCAATCAATTCTCACAAATTTTATTTAGAAAACGTCCCATTCGGAGTGGTAAAAAGAAATATAGTATATTTCCTTGTGTTGTATTTATTTAAATTTAAATATATAAATTATTAGACTATTAATTATTATTGTTATAACCGTCGTAATATAATTAAAATTAAACACTTACAACGTAATGTAATTTCTACAAAGGTAATTACAAAAAAAATATATTTTTTATGAGAGCGATGTACTTGATGGATTGACAGCAAATTATCAATATTTGGCTTGAGTTTTGTACGGAATAACCGTAAATTTCCCCTTTTTGTAATATTCAATCTGCTCCTTTTTTTTGTTAATAAGTTTGTAACGGCATTAAAACTTTTTTCGACGAGATATGACGAGGGAAACGCTATCAGAAGCTTTTGTACAATTCTCCACAGTCCAGGATATTTTTCGGGTATTTCTGCCTGCAGCCAAAATTGTTGATACCCTCTTGTAAATGTTACTTTCAGCTCCTAATTAATGCTAAGTTCGAGTAGCTCCTCTTGTAATATCACATTCTCCACTTCCGTTTCATCAAATGGATTTATGATCCATGGTGGTATTTCCATCGACAGAATATCTTCAAATCTGAATTTAAAATCATCATGCAGGGCAATCAAATGTTGAACGTATGTCTGAATATCTTCATCAAGGCATTCTACTGGCGACAAGTTTGAAAACTGTGAAAATTCGTGCCGACCAATATTTTCCCTCATAAATTTCAATTTACCAAGAAAAGCTGAAATTACACTCTTTGTTTTTATTAAATTGAGGCTGTCCCCTTGTAATTGTAAGTTGCGGTCATTAAATTTTTTGAACAAATCTGTCAAATACGCGATGTCTGCTTTAAAATTGATCGTTTTTTTTTTTAAATCAGGATATTTACTTTCCAAAAACTCTAAAACTGAGTCAAAAAGTAAATAAAATCTTGATAAACATGCACCTTTCGACAACCAGCGTACTTCGGTATGTAACAGCAATCGTTGGGAGTCTTCATCATTTTTATCCCACAATTGTGCAAATCAACGCGTATTCAATGCATTGCTTCTTATTTTGTTAACTGCATTAATCACAAATTGAAGCGATTGGTGCAATCTATCACTCAAATTTTTTGCTACTAGATGTCGGTGGATAACACAGTGAATCGCAATTACCTCTGGTATAATTCTTTTAAGATGGCTTATAAACCCACGATATCGCCCGACCATGGCCACCGTCTGTTGCCACCGAAATAACGTTTGTTAATGCAGTCGATTTTTCTTTAAAAAAATCACTCAAAACATTAAATATTGATTCACCCTTAGTGTCCGTCTTCAAAGTTTTCGCGAATAGTAGCTCTTCATGAATTTCTTCGCCCATAACAAATCGAACCTATGCCAATAATAATGCTTCATTGCCAGGTAAAGTTGACTCGTCCAGTTGAATAGAAAAATGAGTTGTTCATAGATAATCACTCAAGAAACTTTCAACATCAGAGCTCATTTCATCAATATGTCTTTGTACAGTGTTGTTACTCAAAGGAATTTTTTTGAGTATGTCAAATGAAGATTTGTGCAGAACAGTTTTTAAAACCTCTTTAACAGCAGGTAAAATTAACTGTTCTCCAATGGTGTGCAGTTTTCCAGATTTTGCGATAAGTAATGAGATATTGTAAGATTCCCGCAAGCCATCATCGTTGCTTTCAGACGTTGAAGAGAACATACTATGCACAGTGGGTCTCTTTTCATATTTTTCCTTTAATGTTTGGAAATATGTCCAATCTTTACACCTATTTTATCAGGATGACACCTTCTTAGATGATCTTCCAGCTTTGATGGTTTCATAGAGTCATTGTTCAAAACTTTGTTGCATAAAAGGCATGTGGGCAATCGTTTGTCTGCCTTTGATGGAAGAAAACCAAATTTTAAATATTCAACACTGTACTGATGACGACACTTCTTCTTAGATTCGTCCATGTTTTGTATTAATTACCTACCTGTAAATGTGTAAGTAAATAAATAAAAAAAAACTTTGTTTTAGTAATCTTAAGGCGATTCGAACTTAACAGGATGGCTATTTTAACATAATATGATTAATCAATTATTATTATTATTATTATTATAAATCTTATGAAATAAACAAAGTACCGGCTGCAAACTGTTTCTAATTATTAAAAGCAATAAATCGCTAAGATCTAGAAACAAATGAGTAACGATTATCCTTGACATTCCTATATTGGTGAAGAATCAAACACGTTCATGCAAGATTGCAGACACATACACCACAAGTCGTATTAATTTGCACATCTAAACAAGCGTTGCGGACGGGACGGCGGCCGGCGCGGCAACGACAAGTCTCGACGCGTTGTACTGAATATGGAATATGCAAGTAACAGTCGCTGAGCTTCTTAAAATATTATCTGCCTTTATTGATAAGAGAAGTTAAGTCAACATTTTAGTAACTAAAATGTTGACTGTTTATATTATAAACAGTTGAAGTTTTTTACAAGAATTTTTTATTCACATGGAAAAATGAGTAATCAATTGTTTAATAGTATATTGCTTTACTATCGAAACCAAATTAATTTTCATGCACCCCCGCTTACGATTGTGGACCCCCATATTTTATTACGCCCAACGTAGACCCCCGTCGAGTCTCCCGTGGACCCCTGGGGATCCACCTGGACCACTTTAGGAAATACTGCTGTAGACAGTGGAAATACAGAAGATGCACCAGCGGTGGAGCGCTAAATTCTAGTGCCATATATTTGATAAATAAATAACTTGACAAAAGCCTTAATAGCTCGAGTTCAATTACCTATAAAAGCAATATTGTTTTTTTTATTTTGAAAAAATATGAAAAATAAAAAATACAATTATTGCTGTTTATTTCTTTTAAATATATTGTATTTATCATAATATAACCCCTATAGTTTGGCAACCCGTTAATCTTTCCACTATTTATTTTGTAGAATTTTGATAACGGTTCATAACCCAGGTCGCCAAATCCAACGTTGAGTTCGCTAACGAGCTGAGCTATGAAGGCTTTTGGAAAGTTATTTACTTATCAAATATATGGCTTTAGCATCTTCTATAACGGTTTTTTAAAAATACCGTTATAGAGCGCTCCACCTCTAATGTGTCTGCAGCAAAGTATTTTCATGACCAGGTAAGAATGAACGAACAATTTTTAATTTTGCCTTGCGCTAATATCACACCTAAAAGTGTCCAGCTCCCATGGAGGATCTTCGCGTTTCCGCCATCGTATTGGCGCTGATCGCTATTAACTGTTTGTTTTTATTCACTTTTTTTTATCGTTTTATAAAAAATAATGTTTTTTTGTATTTACTTATTTTAATAATAACAATATTATCTAAAATATTCCACTTTGTTCTTCCATGAAAAATTTTAAGCTACGCCACTGGCCTACCATTATGGGGAATTCAACAATATTGCGGTACTTTTGATTTTAGCGCTCTCTAGCGGGTTAAAAAACTGTTACGTATTATTAAGAGTGGCACTTCATTTGAAAGCTAATTTTTCTGGCAATTTTATGGACAATATAACAAAAGATAATTTAATAAAATAACTTAGGAATGTTGTCATTAATGTTATAGGATTAAATCAATTTAACCAATCGCAATCAACCAAAATAGCATGCTTAACATTGAATTACTAATGAAATTAGCTTTCAAATGAAATGGTACACTTTACAATATATAACAGTTTTTTATCCTGTTAGAGGGCGCTAAAATCAAAATTAACGAACTACCATTTTAAATTGTATTGATGAGTGTAACGAAGTGGAGGAGAATGACTTATAATATTTAAAAATAAGAATAATATAAAGGTGTCCTTGAAATATAAATCTACCTACCTGCTTTGTGACAGATTTTTATTAAGAGATATTGATAATGGAAAGTTTTTAAAATGACACCCTGTATAAACCCGCGTGAAACATTAATGGTACATGTGTGTCTAGACAAAATATTCTAATTTTAAAATGGATCTTTCAATATTCCACACAAACAATAAATTTAACCGAAAACGACTACTTACTTGGCAAACGAGGCCCACCCACGGATACACTTCGGACCATTTCGAAACACCACTTCAATTGTCTCTGAAAATCCTAAACTGGGAGTCCTGGTCCTTTTGCATATTTTGTGGGATGCTCGAACCTATAATTATTATGGGTACCTGGGTGTTAAGAGAACACAATTTTAAGATCTCTGATAAAAGGACAGAACAGTAGTTGTGTCGAGTGTCAATTTTGAAAATATTTTTGTGTGTTATATACCCAGACAATTTACGGGACTTTTATTTAAACCTAAACGTTATGTCAAAAACCTCCAGGTGGTGATTCAGACGACAAAAGTTTTGGAGTGGATAGAATTAAACGTCTATAAAAAGGACTATTTATTAAAAATTGATAGAAATGTATTTTTGACACAGTCTATAAGTTTCTTTGATTCCATATTAAATTTCGACAATTAAAATAATACCCTTTAGGTGCCCCAACTTTTCTAGGAAAAGAGTGTTCTTGAATCTCTGTATATTGTCAGGATATGACGTTTTTTGTTGTAGTTATAAGATTTTTTTGTACCCAGTACAGCCAGTAGCGACCTAGCAACTTTTGAACTGACCAATTGAAACATTTCTCAATTAAAAAGTGTCTAGATTGTTACCGTTATGTACTGAGGATATTGTGGGCCTCTAAATGAAAATTAATATCTCTTATTTTAAGCAAGATATCAATGTAGAGAATCGAATTTTGGACACACTGTCATATACCAAACAGGAAAATCAACTGACCTAGCGGTGGATGATCTGTAGGCTGCTTTTAAAGTCAGCTTGCAAAGTCACTAGATAACAAGAAAATCGCAATAGCCACTTTCTTGGATATCAAAGGAGCTTTCAATAATATATGAACCAAATTAATAATGAAAGCTCTAAAACAGAAAAACATCCCAGTTCTAATATGCCAATGGATCAATGTCAGCCTAGAGAAAATGCCCGTTATATCCATTCTAGGAAAGGCAACAATACAGACAATAGTTACACGGGGCTACCTATTCAAAATACAGTCCAAAGAAAGCTACCAGTACCTAGGATACGCAGACGACCTAGCAATTATCGCCAGGGAGCGATTTTCAGGCACACTCTTGGAGCGCTGTCAAATATAGTTCTAAACAACTGGTGCAAAAAGCAAAATGGTTCATTAACGCACAAAAAACAACAATTGTACTATTCACATAAAAACGTACACTTACAGGACTAAGATGTTAGTACTAAATAACATGAGTATTCCATTTGTCACAGAAGCCAAACACCTCGGAGTCATTTGACCAATGGCTGACGTGAAACCAACATCTCAAAAAACTCGCATACAAAGATACCATAGCTCTCGTAAGCTGTAAAAGAATATGAAGGAAAAAATGGAGCCTAAACGCCAAAATAACCATATGGTTATAAACAAGGGTGATGTGATGACCCATAACCTATGGTGCAATATCATGGGTAACTAAAACGACGTACCAAAGTGCAATAAGCCAACTTACAACAGACAATCAGCAGCTGGTTCGCCTGAGTGCCACAGAGGCTGAGTACTACACCAACTGCAGCATTAAAGGTACTAGTAAACCTCACGCCACTGCACATCTTAATACAAGCAGACCAGGTTCGCCATTCATAGGCAGGGACAAAACCCAATAAGCCAACTATATAGCGTTGACCAAACAAAGCTATACCAGCAAGTACAAATGGATACAATTCTAGGGGTTTGTTCCAACAACAATCTTGGAACCATACATAAACCAGTCCACAACTTATTGTCGACGACTGATAGTCGACGACTTGTCGACAATTGGAATTCACTTCGCAACTTATATATGTTAGAACTCATTTTTATATCAGACACACTTTCAATAACGTTAAGGTCAAAACAAATTTAAATATATGTTAAATTTTGAATTTGGGAACTAAAAAAAATATCAAACTAATTAAAACAAATCCTTGGATCGAGATTACGATCGATACTATCAGAAAGAATATAATAGCGAAATTTCCCAGAGTTTTGTACATGTCTTGACAATTCGTTCCTAGGTTTATTCCAACACAATAGCAAATCGGTTTCCGTACTGTCGGGATTCTGCGCAGTCTAGATTTGGTGTTCCAACAAACTTCGGACTCAAAACTGTACAAAAACCTAGTGTTCCAACACACCCAAACCTAATCACAAACCAGTTTCTGTACTGTCAAATCAGTTCCTGGGTGTGAATATGAACGAATTGTCAAGATATGCGCAAAACGAAAGTGAGCTCGTAAATAAACCACCACCAACTCTAAAAATCGAATAATCAAAATTTATAAATCTTTTCATGAGTTTTATATTTTTTTACTTCCCAAATTCAAAATTTTACATTTGTTAAATTTGCCTTTACTTTGACTTTATTAACAGAGTGTGTCTGACAACACAAAAATGTGTTCCAACACATCGAAGTTCTGAATCGCGTCCCAATCCTCGACAGGTCGTGGACAGGTCGTCGACTATCAGTCGTCGACAATAAGTTGTGGACTGGTTTATGTATGGTCCCAAAATTGTTGTTGGAACAAACCTCCTATTTAGGCCCAGGAACTGATTTGACAGTACAGAAACTGATTTGTGATTAGGTTTGGGTGTGTTGGAACAGTAGGTTTTTGTACAGTTTTGAGTCCGAAGTTTGTTGGAACAGCAATTCTGGACTGCGCATAATCCCGGCAGTACGTAAACCGATTTGCAGTTCACATACAAATTTGAAAAATTAATTCAAATCCAAGTACCAGCCCGAGAATTCTGGAAACAGGGACCCATCCAGGCTGAACTAGCCTACTATACAGATGATTCAAAAATTAATATAAGGAGCTCGTGCTGGAATCTTTGGAACCAAGTCGAAAACAACGATTTCACATAGTCTTGAAAAATATGCAACAATGTTCCATTCCGAAATGATAATCATATAACTCTGTGCAAGAGAAATAATTAATTAGCAAGTAATGCATCTACTCTGACAGCCAAGAAGCTTTAGAGATAATTTTCTTACCAGAAATGAAATTAAGACTAGTGAAAGACTGTCTAAAAGAAATGGTCACGGTGGACAACGACAAATAACGTCCAACTCCTTTCAAATCTAATTTATATATGGACCGTTGATCAGTAAAAAAGATATGAGCAGAAAATATCCGTAGCTGAAACGAGCGTGCTGCGGTAGCTAAGCGGAGTTACAAGAGTGGAGAAAATTAGAAATTAACGTCTTTAAGGTCGCGATGCTAATGATAATGATGATGATGATATTAAAGATAGAACAACTAATTTTAAATTACCTTTTTGAAGCTTTAATTCAATTAAAACGTATAGGACATATAGGGTGTCTCCAAAAGGTTGGGACATAGCTTAACTATAAACACCTGGGTTAAAAATAAGATGAAAATGAAATCGATTTTTATAATTTTTATTACGGCATGTTCTGTGACTATAATTCTGGTCTTAAAATTATGTTTATCTTTATCAGTAAGTAGTTGTAAGTGTATTAAACAAAAATTTGGTGTTGGATTTTTAGAACTTACGCTGAAAACTTAATTTTTTTTTTTAGAAATAATTGTAATTTTTGATTAGGTTTATTCACAAAAAATAATATACCATGGCATGCAATGCAAAGTTTAGAAGTGACAAGTAGTCAAGGTTCCAGGCTGAATTTTCGGAGGGGTCATATTAATAATTACTTTTTTTTAAATAGGGTGAGCATACCTATTTGTTTTGATGCTGGATTTTTTTTTATTAGCTCCTCAAACAGTCAAGACCAAGGCGTATGTTTTTTGCTCCACAAGTTTTAATTAATATTTTTGTTGCTCGGTAATAGTAGTAGCGTTTTGTACAGACTTTGAAAATACTGTACGTATGATCACACTAAAAATAAGGCTCATGGATTATGATATTGTAACAATTTTAAGCTCGGCAGGGCATGGTCCCCTGATACCCCTCACGAAATAATGTTCATATGGACACTCTAAATAAAAGGCTTAACATTTTAATCTCGGAGGAGGGGAGGAATCTAGCCCAAAATTCATTTTCTGTTTTTCTGTATATACAGAAGTAGGATATATCTTACTTTTAATATTAAAAAAAAAAATAACGAATCACAAATGTTGCCATACTAAAAATTATAATTATTTATCATAGCATAACTTCTACGTCTTTATACCGACTTAACCAGATGATTTTGACATAAGTCAGGTTAAATCGTCTTATTTTTAATGCAGGAGTCCCAACTTTTGTAGACCCCGTATATATACACATAAAAACAACTGAAGATGATCTGATTAAAAATAAGAAGATTAAACTTAACATGCTTAGGTAAAATGTTACTTGTTTCTGAAATTAAAGTTGAAAATTTAAAAATTATTAATGGCCATAAATTTTTTATTTCTCAGTATAAATTTACTAAATGCGGCAAGCGTTTTTGGTGTCATTAGATACACATATCAGCAAAAAATCAGTTAAATAAACTTTGCATCATCCCTTCTAAATTTTACGCCACTGTCCAAAAATTTATTTTGACTATAATTTTAAGTTTCTGATGTTTTCTAAATAAATTATGTACTATTATTGGGAAAACAAAATTACAAAATATAAAAATAATTTCGAATATCTTGAAAACCAATCACTTTATAAGTTCCCAACAAGAGTACGTGATTTATTTAAAAAGATATAGGTATAGGTGAAAAAAATAAGTTTTTGGACAGTGGTGTAAAATTTAGAAGTGATAAAGGTGTTACTTACCCATGCCGTACGCCACTGGCAAAGTTTATTTAACTTATTTTTTGCTGATAGTTATATCTTATGACACTAAAAATGTTTGCCAAAATGTTGGCCAAATTTAGTAAAATTATACTGAGAAATAAAAAAAATTATAGCCGTTAATAATTTGTAAAATTTTAATAAATTTCGGTATTTTATCTAAGCATATTTCGTTTAATCGTCTTATTTTTAATCAGACATTCTTAAAGGGACACCCTGTATATCTGTAGGTTTTTTTAAAACGTAATATAAAACGTCTGATAACCAGTTTATCTTTTGATTAACTTACAGAATGAAAGCAAATTGTGAAATTGGAAAAAAGCCAAAACTCCTACAAGCGTTTCTGAGTATTTTAATTTAATATCTTCATATGTTTCATTTATTTTACTACGCACTTCCTAGAAATATTTAGCAGAAAAAAAAAACAGAGGAGAGACATCATTTACAGGTAAAGGTTAAAAATGTATTTGGGTGTTGCAAAATATTATTTTTAAAATGACCCACATTTTTTAAGTGTCGTATAGCAGATATAGAAGTTTGAAAGGCTTTTGGTAGGTAGAGAGGTGGTAAGCGTCAAACCCTGTCGGTTTGTTGGTAATGTTTGTTTGCCATAGTCGTCTCATATAATAAATTTATTTCCAAATATTTTAAATTATTACCGGCTACAAATACTTATTTAAACAATAATATCCCAAATCATAATTCTAAAAAATTTCAACAGCTATTCACAATTTATTAGAGGAAATGGTATAATAATGGGCTAGGCTTGGATTATGGGCTACGGTAATATTTCCAGTACAATGATAGCCATCTATTGGTTGACATCACAATTATATGCGCGTTTGCATTTGTAACAGCTTTGTGATTACTGGTTTCTTCTTTTCGCAGAGGTGGTTTTGTTTAGTGTGAATTGGTATTTTACAGTGTTTACAAATTTTGCAGTGGTGCTTATTTGTGGCTGTAACTCAATTGTTTTTGATGTCAAAGTCGATTTTTAACGATCAGACTTGAGCACAAGGTTTGTATTTTTAGTTTTTGTTTTTCAATTTACATAGATTAAATATATAAAATATTTGTAAAATTATAAATTTAATTGCGCTTATTTGCAATATGGGCTAGCCCATATTTGTATCAATCTCTATTTCATTGTGTGTTTTGTTTTAGAATGCCACGCAAGAAACTTATGGTAACTTCCGATTTAAGCGCCAAGAAAAGAAAGACGTGGGATACAGAGGATATGAAAAGGGCTGTTCAAGCAGTAAGAGAAAAAAGAATGGGTACTCTAAAAGCAGCAAAAAAAATTGGCGTTCCAAGGACTACAGTGCAGCGATTAGCCAAAATGGACCATCTTAGGTAGAACAGATTGTTCAAATTAAACTTGGTCGAGGTACAGTTTTAAATCCATAATTGGAAGAAACATTAGTTCGCTACATCCTTGAAATGGAAGCCTTATGGCTTAACCCGCAAAGATATTAATCGTATGGCATTTTGCTTGGCAGAAAGAAACGGAATAAAGCATCCTTTTGGAAACACACAAGCAGCAGGAAGGGGCTGGTTAGATTTATTTTTGCAAAGGCATAAAAATACCTTGTCAGTTAGAAAAACCCACTGGGACATCTTTCGCTCGCGCCAAAGGGTTTAACAAAGAAAGTGTTGACAACTTTTTTACGCTTTTGCAGGAAGCGTATGAAAAATACAAATTCCCAGCTAATCGCGTGTATAATGTGGATGAGACCGGTCTGACTGTTGTGCAAAATAAGGTCGCTGAAGTAGTCGGTCGTAAGGGAAAAAGACAAATTACCTCTTTAACTTCATTGGAGCGGGGTTCTTTAATCACTTTGATAGCCTGCATAAGTTCCGGGGGAGACTTTGTATCACCGATGCTCATATTTCCTAGAAATTCAACTAATGAAAGGCATCCCTCCAGGATCAATATCAGCAGTTTACCCTAGTGGATGGGTTCAGGCTACGTCAATCGCCTAGTGGTTCTTTTAATTTTAGATGGGCATTATAGTCATACGCGTAACCTAGAAGTTGTCAATACGGCTAGAGAAAATCACGTGGTAATAATCTCATTACCCCCTCATTCCACCCATACACTACAGCCTCTTGACAAAACGTTCATGGGTGCGTTAAAGGCTTACTACAGTGAGGAGATTAGACAATGGATTCGCCACAATCATCGTCCCTTATCTCAATATGACATTGGCAAACTTTTTGGAAAGGCCTATCTCAAAAGTCAGACTGGAGAAATTGCAGTAAATGGATTCCTCGCTACTGGAATTTTTCCGTTGAATAAAAATATTTTTTCAAAAGCGGACTTTCTTGCTGCGCAAATAGAAGCAGAAAAAGAACACTGCACCGCTGAAAGTGAATTGAGTGTCACCACAAATGACCACACCAAGCACATCTCAATCGAATATAGAGACACCCAATCAGGACAACGCTCAACCTGGACCATCTGGAATGTCAAGAAAAATGTTGTCGTCACCCTTTGATATTTCGCCAGTTCCGATATTTAAAAAGAAAACAACTAATAGGGGTAGGAAAGCATCGCAAGCAGCTGTAATTACTTCCTCCCCTTATAAAGATGAATTATTGTTGTGCACTACCAATAAAAATAAGCAAAATGTTAAACAGGTTAAAAAAACGTATGTTCTCAATCAGCCGAAAAGATCTCGATGTCCAAAGCATCAAAGAAGAATAAAAAGCAGCAGTCGATAGAAGAGTCTGAAGGTGAAGACGACGAAACACAGTTTATGCCAGCAGATGACGATTTAGATATAGATGATATGCCTGGACAAAAGAAACTAGATGTTTTAGATGCGGAATGCATATTCTGCGAAATTAGATTTTCTGAAGACCGCAAAGGTGAACTCTGGGTTCAGTGTTTAATGTGCAGTTTATGGTGCCATGTGGACTGTGCCGGCGCTGATAGAGACGACTATGTTTGTGACTTTTGTCGCACTGATTAGTAGTGTGTTTAGTGTGTTACTTTTGTAATTGCTCCTGTTTTTTTTTCCAATTTAGCCTTTGAATAAAACGTTTAAGTTAATATTTGTAGGTATTTTCTGTAGTAGCCCATATTTGTATCACTTTAAAAATGACTGCTATTATGTTACTGTTATTTGAACAAAATAAAATTTTAGAGAAGCTTCAGCAAAAAGAACAAAAACGGAACGCATAATGTTAATAAAAGGTTCTAGTTCACTTGTAAAAAGAAAAAACGTAAATTACACTAAAAATGTGTCAGATATGTCAATTAAACCAAATAGTAACCCATATTTGTATCTTTTCCTCTAAAATAAGTACGTGAAATTTTTATTATCATCTATAAAATAATTTTCTAAGCCAATGTTTCGTGTTCACTTTGGTTAGCTTCGCACCAAAACTGTCAAATCTTGTGTATGAAGTGGGAGAACTGGTAAAAGCCTTTCCAACTTCTGTTCCTGCTTATAGTTCTGATTTTAAAGAATACAGTGTTTTTTAATTTATTTATTATATTTAAACATTAGATTGCATTAAAACATTATTTCCTTTGATCTAATTATAAAGGGCAATTCGTTCTCAATTACCATGTAATTAACAGTAATTATATATCATGTACTTTTTATTTCTGTTTTTCAAAAATATACTTACAAGACAAATGTTATTTGAACCTAATAAATGAAAACCAAGCCAAACAGATGGTTATAAATGTGTTTCAGGTATATATTTTTCTATTTAGAGTAAAACATTATTAAATTCAATATATTAAAAAAAATCGACAATATCTATAAAATATCTTATTTCTAATTTTGACATATACAGTGACATTTTTTGTAATCGAAAAAAGTAGGAAAATGATCTATTTCACGCAACCAGTTTGTATAATGTTGATAATTATTCATTATGTTACCAGTTGTGGAAAGAGAACATAAAAATAAAGAGAAGGGCAGGTTGACTAGAATTTGGTTAAACTTACAATCTAGTAATAATTTGTTTTGGTTCTTATTTTTCATTCTAAATCAGCACAAAATAATTTAAGCACAAATGACTAGATAACCCACTTTTTTGAAAACTAACATTAACAAGCAATATAAACACTACAAGTCGTCAAGAATAATTTTTATATGATTTTCTACTTGTCAATTAAATGAATGAAGTTACTCACATGCAACTAACAATACAAGAAAGTAATATTGATTACCTAGATGTTAATAACGTAAAAAAAATGTTATAAATAATCTAGTCAAAATAATTAGAAAACATATTGTAACACGTTACGAAATTCCGTTTTATGCAACTCGTTCATGTTGCGGAACCTCGCTCTGCTCGTCCCGCAAATATTTACTTGTTACATAAAATAAGGCATTTCGTAAATGATTGCATAAATAGCTATTAGAGTTCTGTTATGATTATCCTGCTTATTTGAAAACCAATTTGTTAGATTCGTCTTGGACATTCTTTTTCTTTCTAAATCATTGCTTAGATGCGTATTTAAAACTATACATTAGAACTGTATAATATGCATTCGTCACCTTTTAACGGGTATAGAATATTTTGATTTACATAATCTGCGAATTAATTTTTTGATGAAAATCTGACCACGTTAAAATCCAAGAATATATTCCTTGATTCAAATAATTCATCTTTGTATGTTATTTAATTTTTAAGGCTAGTAAATATAACTTACTGGTAGAGAAAACAACACAGTTTGCAAACAGAAGCCAGTAGGCATGAGATTTGCAAATGTTCCAGACCAGTAAATACACTTTAGTTCGTAAGTAGGCATTGGTTGGTTGATTTAATATTTAATGCTAAATTGTTTAAATACTGTTGTAATACAACCATGATATCGATGGTTAAGAGGACAACAAATGTATATCCAAAAATGTCGTTTTGAGTTAAATCAATTTGAAAGTTGGAGGCACTGTATAGTTTGTAACTGATAAATCATATAAAACTAAAATGGTCAACCGTTTCAAGTAGATGTGTACAATATTTGGGAATCATAAATATTTCATCTCAAAAGACATAGAATCGTACATACCCAACTTTTGACAAAAATTGACTAATATATAATATTTGTTCTGTTAGATATCGATATTATTTTCTAGACATTTTTAGTTAGAACTTTCAGTAAAATAAAAGTAAATACTTACTAGTAAATGTATGGTATATGTACAAAGTATGCCAACGAAAATTGTGCCTAATGTTCCCATTAAAAGTCCAGCTGTCTTAAAAGCTCGTGGTACGGACAGAATTCCAATTCCTAGCGATCCTTTGACTATGTGTATGAGAGCTCCAACATATCTTAAATAAGAAAAAATATATAAAAAAAGGGCCTTAGTAGTTAACAGTGTTGAGTTGTGGTTTTGTGCCATTGGTATAAAAATTCAGTGTTTTAATGAAACCAGTGGAGTATTAGAATTTTTTCAATCAAAACATATAATGTAATCATTTGGTTCTTCTAATATACTAGATTCTAACTAACTATAATTAGTTTTAAAATATCTATAGTCAATTGATGGGAAATATATTCATGATATCTAGCCTTTAGTTATTTCAAACTTTATAATTACATAACTAAATTTGGTTAGTGTATTTTTAAATGTTGTACTAGGTTCAAATTGTTTGATACCATGTGATCAGATTATATGAGATCCAAGCGGGGCCAATATGGAATTATTGCCCTAGGTTTGCCTGAAATGCCAGACTGAATAATATAATATTTGTTTCCCAATCCAAAAATAAATACATTTTCCTTTTTTAACTTTTACATAAGAAAATAAATAGAGCGCATACCACAGAAGGCAGAGAGGCCTGAGGCCTTGCCTTATGCGTGGTAGAATCTATTCCGTTATTTCTTTTTGGTTTTCTGTACCAAGTAAAATATTTCTCAATAAAAAATAAATATTCAAAATGGATCATACAAATTTGAGTTTGAATATAATAATTAAATTATTTTAGGTTACATTATATCTACAATGCATTTAACTGTTTTTTGTTTAAATTTATTTTAATATTTATTTATTTGTTTATTATATTTTTTAATAACATATACCACTTCTTTATTTCCGTTTTGAATCGATAATAATTTGAAATGTCTTTTTCTTTATTTTGAAAATATTTGAATATAATCGCAGTTGCGTGATATATTTTTTGTTTGCTTTAGATATTAGGTTTGTTCCAACAGCGAATCTAATTATCAGAAGGACGTTAGACGCATGCGCATTGAAAATAGTTCGTTCCTACAAAGCTACGTTTTTCATCGCTTGTAAATTTATCAGCACATGCGCATTTGAACGTCGCTTCGTTATATTTTTTTGTATTTGTTGGAATTTTAAATGAGCTTGTATTGGAGTGGCTTGGGTTTCTATTTCTTTTAATTGAAATTAATAATTTTTGTTTTTATCTTGTGTAAGGTTTTTTATGTAAAATGCGTACTTATTTTTAATAAAAATAAACATCTTAAGGTTTCAAAATTTAGGTTTAGATGACGATGATATTAATTATTTAATATTAAAAAACTTCGAACTGATACAAATGTTGGCGAGCGCACCCGAAAACTATAGTAAGTGATCTGCGCATGCTCAGATATTAAAATAAAAGCCGCACTAATAACTCTCTAACATCTTGGAATCTATTCAGATTATTAATGATGTAATTATATCTCGACAAATTGATATCAAAAACACTCAAAATTTAGATACACTAAAAATAGTTGACTATTTATCAAGGTCTCATTATATTACCCTTGAATATTGTGCACTTCGTTTATGTTTTGTATGGTATGCATGCATAAAGTTAAAGAATTCCAAACGTATTGGACTCTCCATGTATGGCATCTTCTATGGAGTAGGTACCTACATTTTATTCTCTGTTTTACATTGAAAATGCAACACTCAGTAAAAAATAAGGAATCTTAACGAAATTTTGGCAAATAATTTGTTGTACTAAAAGTTTGGTTCCGATCGGTTGTAGTAATGCCAGATTTTTTGCAATCAGCTGATGCATTTATTCTGTATGATAATAAGAATATTTAAAAAGTTTTATTGCTTTACTCGCTATAAAAATATTGATTACTATGCCTTCAGTGAAAAGACGCGCTAATTTTAATCAATTAAGTGAATTTGAACGGGATAGGATTTCGTTTCTTGAAATTGTCAATAGAATTGGTAGAAATGTATCTACGGACACATTGGCCGGAAGTAAACCATTTTCTACCCTAGACTTGAAGTCTGGATATTGGCAGGTGGAAATGGACCCAGTAGATAAAGAAAGGACAGTCATTTGGACTATATAATGCCCCCGCGACATTTGAAAGACTGATGGAAAATATATTGAGAGGGTTATCCTGGAAAACATGCCTGGTATATTTAGACGACATCATAGTCTTGGGGAAGACATTTGATGAACATCTAAGGAACTAAGAAGATGTTTTTTAAAAGACTTCAAGCTGCCCAACTGATGCTAAACCCCAAGAAATGCCAGCTATTTCAACATAAAGTTATTTACCTGGGTTATATATTCAGCAAGGATGGCGTGGCAGTACATAAGGAGAAAGTCGTTTATATCAAACAATGGCCACCTGATAAATATCAAATAAGAAGTTTTCTTTCGCTCTGTACGTACTACCGAAGATTCATAAGCCTTATTGCTAAACCATTAACACGACTAAGAGAAGAAGCGAGATAATTCTGCTGGGACGAAGATTGTCAAACTGCCTTTAAAACATTAAAGAAGCATTTAACAACAGCACCAATACTAGGCTATCCACTACCAGAGGGAGAATTTATTTTGGATACTGATGCCAGTAATGTGTGAATTAGAAGAGTGCTTTCACAGATTCAGGGGGGAAAAGAAAGAGTACTGGGTTATTTTAGTAAAGTGCTCTCGAAACCTGCGCTAAACTACTACGTCACGAGGAGAGAACTCCTGGCAGTTGTGAAATGTGTAAAACACTTCTACTAAGGAAATGTTTAGTCCAAACCGATCATGCAGCTCTTAATTAAGTAGTTGATGCAGTTCAAGAACCCGTAGGGCCAAATCTCCTTTTCTATCTGGTAACAAAGAACACCTTCTGAGATCGATCCACTTATCCTGATGTATGGGAAGCATTACTTAGTCTGAGGAAGCATGTACTGGAGTCCAAGGTGCAGAAACTAGCCATGCCAAAGAGAGAGAACAACCAGGTGGATTGGGCAATCATTATAAACAAAGTGAAAATAATATTTCAAGATACCGAGTTCCAAATACTGGTATACAGCCATTCGCCTAGTCTCCAGGTTTCAGCAGAAACCGTCCCTTGTTATTTCGTAAGGAGGGGGCAATGTCGTGCGAAGCCGACCCTGTTCTCTGTTTATGTTTACGCGACATAAAGTCTGGCATTTGTAATCGCTGCCGTCTTTAACAAATACTCAAGACATTGATGCTGGAATTTTCTATGTATGCGGTTTGACGCGAGATTCTTCTAGCAGGATTGGTTCTTTCTAGGCCGTTATATTTTTATATAATTAGCGCGACTTTGTCGATAGAAGTTGAAGTCTGAATATAAGTGTTGTAAAGTTAAGATAAATTGTAATAAATAAAATAGAAAGTGTGAATTATAATAGTGCTTAAGTATTAAATAAATTAATTAGTACGTTATACATAAATTATAAATAAACTGTTTTAAATAAATAAACTATTTTTAAATTAAACAATCGTTACAGTATTTTGTAATGCAAAAGGCATTATTTTTATTGATTATCTTGAAAAAGGAACAACAATAAATGAACAATATTATAGCTTGATCAGTTGCAATAGAAATGGCATGGAATATCAAAAAAAAAAGTTTTGCTCGAGACTTGGCCCTTTCGTTTATTTCCAAACAAAAATTTCACGGTAACTGGAAATATACGTCCGATTTGAAAAGCCTATTTTAAAAATCTAGACGAATCGGCCTATAGTAGCGGAGTGTTTTGATCGATAACGAGATTATGTCGAAAAATAAAAGTCTTCTTAAAACCGTTTTTTAGACTGGAAAATACTCATTTAATCCTATTACGTTTAAATAATATTTAGTGTACTTACGAATTAGGATGTTGTAAAATTCTGTGTTCATGTGGCTTATAGTCTTCTTTGTTATTATTTTCCAGTTTGTTAAGGTCGTCATGACTTGTTAATTTGTTTCTAAAAAAAAGAAAAAGAAATTACTTAACGTTATTTCGTATACAAGGTTAACCAAAACTATGTTTTCAGCAACAGCAAAATTAAATGTCTATTTCAATAGCTTGTGAACGAGCGAGCTGGCATAGCGATTAATTTTGGCCCACCTTGCATGTGGATATAATTTTTTTATGCACTAACATATTATTATCTTCCCCTTTTCCGTCCTGTATATACCTAGAAAAACAATGACACATTTATTTAAAAATGATAATATCAAATCAATAAATATTGTATTTTTCAAATGCTAGGTAATTTGTGACAATTAACAAAACTCCAAAATAGATGAAAAACATTTGTTTGTGGACTTTTTATAACCAAAAATTTAATAAAATGGGATTTAATTAGCTCTTTTTTCAAAATATCCATAGGTAAATTTGTGATTTTAGAATTCTAAAGTTGACCTTTTCTATACCTATCAAATGAAATATACCTTGTATTTTTATAAAATTAAAAATACTACAAAATTGTATTTCTCGTCTGCAGGTTGTTTGTAAAGTGCTATTTAAGTAAAATGTTACTCACATTTATACATTCTACACATAGGAGATACTAATATGACAACGACGATATGCCGTTCAATATCTTTTTAAATTCAGAGTGGCTCATGAAGGTATATTATTATTCAACCTCAGAAATGCGTTTAGAAACCTCGCACGGCGCGTCTGGACCCTATTCTAAAGGCGGGTACAGATCTGAGCACGTACGCGTATGAGGCAAGCCGAAGCCGAACCGAATGCCTCGTGCGGCGCATTTTGTGTACACGAATGTTAGACGCACGAGGCGCAGCTCGCTACTAATCCAGTAAATTCGTGGGCACGAAACCGTATACCCAGAACATTCGTAAAATTAAAACAAAAATGAGGGATGGGGATGACGTCGGGGAGTTGAATGCTTGTTTTATTATTTTATCCGACACATTAAAGAAAAAAGGAGAGAAAGGAATCGATGGCCGATTTCCTGCCAAGGATATTCTTTTTTTATGGTGTTGTAGTAGAACTGGCGTTTTGCTCTCTTACATGGTATGGTACAAATTCCTCGTTCAGACTGAGCACGTACTGCGGATTGCCTCCCTTTGATGTACCGCCAACAAACGGATCGGGGCGAGGCCGTACCGCGCACACAACGAGGCAATTTGAGGCGCCTCGGAAGCCCGTCCACATCTGCATGCTCAATCATCCTCGGCTTGCCTCATACGCGTACGTGCTCAGAATGCTCAGATCTCTACCCGCCTTAATGCATGTGGTCAGACGCGCCGTGCAAGGTTTCTAAATGCACATCATTGGGGTAGCTATGAAAATTTGACACATTTCACTGTGTATTCGCGATTAAAATTAATTTTCGTGCGCCTGTCATCTGTCACTTATAAGTAGGATAATTGTTTTTAGATATTATCATTATAATATTGTTTTTGAGTTGTATTTAATGCTAATTAAAGTTTATTAGTTTTCGTGTTATCGTCATAAATATATTTACCATGTGTTTAAGACTAATTTGTTGGAAATCTTTCTCATCTGGATGCTACACAAACATCTAAAAATATTTGTTTACTAAACGCAGGTCACTTTTATTATATGGATTAAGGTAAATTTCAGGTACCTAATGCTTATTATTGATAAACTTAATTGAAAATCGGGGTATCCTTTTTGTTATATTCTAAACATTGTGTATTGTGACACTATTTAAACATATAAACCGAAATTAAATTGTCACAATGCAGAATGCAGTTTGATTCTAGACATAAAGTGTTGCAAAATCTCAATAATGTGAATTTGTATATTGTATATATATATATATATATTTATTCGCTCCGTGCGCGACAGCAGCGCCAATTTGTTTTGGTATTAAAGGAGTATTTCTGCCTATACTGACAAATACAATTTTTAATAGAATTCGTAAATAAAAAGTATATATGTTAGTTTTAATAAAAGTATATGGATTTATAAAACAATTAAAACATTAATTTATTATTATTATATATTTTTCACGCTTAAATTGAAGAAAATTATATATAATCATTAAAAATCAATAATAAAATATAGACAGGCAACAGTATTTACTGGAAAATGTATGAGAAGTTGCCTAAGTCTAATAAGTTGTCATTGAAGAAACCATTTATAATAGCGTGAAGTTAAAATCTATAAAAAGGATCGCTACTTATATTTTCATTTTTGTTCTAAAGAAAACATAGAATGAATGATTAAAACTGGTTTCCGATCAGTAAGTCACAAAATTGCATACCAGCCAAATATTATAATCAACGGCAGAAATCTTGAAATCTAGTCCTTGCTGAATGAACATTTAAGAATAAAGGGATATTAAAGAACATCGTAAAATGATAATTTATTGTTTATTTAAAAACTTTCTAGTTTCTGATGTCTACTATTTCCAGCATTACTGTTATTATCACAAAAATAAAGGTAATTTTTCTTCTTATTGTACACCTATCCATTTATTTCTTTGATTTAATTTCCACTTTGTTAGTGAAATTTGTTATATAAGTTTCACTGTTTTTTTTGCTAGTATTTGTACAATTTTCAATACAGCAACTCCGGTTGCTTATTGTGTTGTTTTTACCTACTTTTTTGAAAAAAAGTAAAATGTATACGTGTATTTGATATGCCAAAATTACAAAATATCCCCCTAAAATGCACGAATTATCCGCAGCTAGCGCTAGTATCGCTTTTGCTTCCCTTTCCATGACTTCGCACGGAGCGAATAGCAAGAAACAACATTTTAGGGCTTATGCTTGGAAAATAATGAAAACTTCCGTTTTGATTTTGACATAAAACCAATTTTCTGGGGGGCTTATTCACACATTTCATTTTTAATATTAACATTATCACACACTATTAGAAATCAAAAATGTAATGCGCACAAACAAGAAAAAATCAAATTGATAATTGATACAAATTTATTTAAAAACACGACAATATTGCCAATTTATTAACTAATTAAAAAAAAAATTGATAAATGAACTGTAGTTTAATAAAAAAATAAATATAATCAAATTGGTTTTATAAAAATCATTAAACAAATATAAAAAATGAATACATATAGCTAGAAACAAATTTCGCTAGAAAAGGTATTTTCACTGCAAAATGTAAAAATTCACTGACGTAGCGAAATGGGGAGTAAAAGTTTGTATGGGAGAATCTTAACAATTAATAAAAAAATTAAAAAATAAATAAATCTAATTAAATCTAAATAAATCAAAATAAATCAAAATAAATCAAAATAAATCAAAATAAATCAAAATAAATCAAAATAAATCAAAATAAATCAAAATAAATCAAAATAAATCAAAATAAATCATAATAAATCAAAATAAATCAAAATAAATTAAAATAAATCAAAATAAATCAAAATAAATCAAAATAAATCAAAATAAATCAAAATAAATCAAAATAAATCAAAATAAATCAAAATAAATCAAAATAAATCAAAATAAATCAAAATAAATCAAAATAAATCAAAATAAATCAAAATAAATCAAAATAAATCAAAATAAATCAAAATAAATCAAAATAAATCAAAATAAATCAAAATAAATCAAAATAAATCAAAATAAATCAAAATAAATCAAAATAAATCAAAATAAATCAAAATAAATCAAAATAAATCAAAATAAATCAAAATAAATCAAAATAAATCAAAATAAATCAAAATAAATCAAAATAAATCAAAATAAATCAAAATAAATCAAAATAAATCAAAATAAATCAAAATAAATCAAAATAAATCAAAATAAATCAAAATAAATCAAAATAAATCAAAATAAATCAAAATAAATCAAAATAAATCAAAATAAATCAAAATAAATCAAAATAAATCAAAATAAATCAAAATAAATCAAAATAAATCAAAATAAATCAAAATAAATCAAAATAAATCAAAATAAATCAAAATAAATCAAAATAAATCAAAATAAATCAAAATAAATCAAAATAAATCAAAATAAATCAAAATAAATCAAAATAAATCAAAATAAATCAAAATAAATCAAAATAAATCAAAATAAATCAAAATAAATCAAAATAAATCAAAATAAATCAAAATAAATCAAAATAAATCAAAATAAATCAAAATAAATCAAAATAAATCAAAATAAATCAAAATAAATCAAAATAAATCAAAATAAATCAAAATAAATCAAAATAAATCAAAATAAATCAAATAAATCAAAATAAATCAAAATAAATCAAAATAAATCAAAATAAATCAAAATAAATCAAAATAAATCAAAATAAATCAAAATAAATCAAAATAAATCAAAATAAATCAAAATAAATCAAAATAAATCAAAATAAATCAAAATAAATCAAAATAAATCAAAATAAATCAAAATAAATCAAAATAATCAAAATAAATCAAAATAAATCAAAATAAATCAAAATAAATCAAAATAAATCAAAATAAATCAAAATAAATCAAAATAAATCAAAATAAATCAAAATAAATCAAAATAAATCAAAATAAATCAAAATAAATCAAAATAAATCAAAATAAATCAAAATAAATCAAAATAAATCAAAATAAATCAAAATAAATCAAAATAAATCAAAATAAATCAAAATAAATCAAAATAAATCAAAATAAATCAAAATAAATCAAAATAAATCAAAATAAATCAAAATAAATCAAAATAAATCAAAATAAATCAAAATAAATCAAAATAAATCAAAATAAATCAAAATAAATCAAAATAAATCAAAATAAATCAAAATAAATCAAAATAAATCAAAACAAATCAAAATAAATCAAAATAAATCAAAATAAATCAAAATAAATCAAAATAAATCAAAATAAATCAAAATAAATCAAAATAAATCAAAATAAATCAAAATAAATCAAAATAAATCAAAATAAATCAAAACAAATCAAAATAAATCAAAATAAATCAAAATAAATCAAAATAAATAAAAAAAAAAAATAAAAATAAATAAAAATAAATAAATAAAACTAAATAAAAATAAATAAAAATAAATAAAAATAAATAAAAATAAATAAAAATAAATAAAAATAAATAAAAATAAATAAAAATAAATAAAAATAAATAAAAATAAATAAAAATAAATAAAAATAAATAAAAATAAATAAAAAATAAATAAAAATAAATAAAAATAAATAAAAATAAATAAAAATAAATAAAAATAAATAAAAATAAATAAAAATAAATAAAAATAAATAAAAATAAATAAAAATAAATAAAAATAAATAAAAATAAATAAAAATAAATAAAAATAAATAAAAATAAATAAAAATAAATAAAAATAAATAAAAATAAATAAAAATAAATAAAAATAAATAAAAATAAATAAAAATAAATAAAAATAAATAAAAATAAATAAAAATAAATAAAAATAAATAAAAATAAATAAAAATAAATAAAAATAAATAAAAATAAATAAAAATAAATAAAAATAAATAAAAATAAATAAAAATAAATAAAAATAAATAAAAATAAATAAAAATAAATAAAAATAAATAAAAATAAATAAAAATAAATAAAAATAAATAAAAATAAATAAAAATAAATAAAAATAAATAAAAATAAATAAAAATAAATAAAAATAAATAAAAATAAATAAAAATAAATAAAAATAAATAAAAATAAATAAAAATAAATAAAAATAAATAAAAATAAATAAAAATAAATAAAAATAAATAAAAATAAATAAAAATAAATAAAAATAAATAAAAATAAATAAAAATAAATAAAAATAAATAAAAATAAATAAAAATAAATAAAAATAAATAAAAATAAATAAAAATAAATAAAAATAAATAAAAATAAATAAAAATAAATAAAAATAAATAAAAATAAATAAAAATAAATAAAAATAAATAAAAATAAATAAAAATAAATAAAAATAAATAAAAATAAATAAAAATAAATAAAAATAAATAAAAATAAATAAAAATAAATAAAAATAAATAAAAATAAATAAAAATAAATAAAAATAAATAAAAATAAATAAAAATAAATAAAAATAAATAAATAAATAAAAATAAATAAAAATAAATAAAAATAAATAAAAATAAATAAAAATAAATAAAAATAAATAAAAATAAATAAAAATAAATAAAAATAAATAAAAATAAATAAAAATAAATAAAAATAAATAAAAATAAATAAAAATAAATAAAAATAAATAAAAATAAATAAAAATAAATAAAAATAAATAAAAATAAATAAAAATAAATAAAAATAAATAAAAATAAATAAAAATAAATAAAAATAAATAAAAATAAATAAAAATAAATAAAAATAAATAAAAATAAATAAAAATAAATAAAAATAAATAAAAATAAATAAAAATAAATAAAAATAAATAAAAATAAATAAAAATAAATAAAAATAAATAAAAATAAATAAAAATAAATAAAAATAAATAAAAATAAATAAAAATAAATAAAAATAAATAAAAATAAATAAAAATAAATAAAAATAAATAAAAATAAATAAAAATAAATAAAAATAAATAAAAATAAATAAAAATAAATAAAAATAAATAAAAATAAATAAAAATAAATAAAAATAAATAAAAATAAATAAAAATAAATAAAAATAAATAAAAATAAATAAAAATAAATAAAAATAAATAAAAATAAATAAAAATAAATAAAAATAAATAAAAATAAATAAAAATAAATAAAAATAAATAAAAATAAATAAAAATAAATAAAAATAAATAAAAATAAATAAAAATAAATAAAAATAAATAAAAATAAATAAAAATAAATAAAAATAAATAAAAATAAATAAAAATAAATAAAAATAAATAAAAATAAATAAAAATAAATAAAAATAAATAAAAATAAATAAAAATAAATAAAAATAAATAAAAATAAATAAAAATAAATAAAAATAAATAAAAATAAATAAAAATAAATAAAAATAAATAAAAATAAATAAAAATAAATAAAAATAAATAAAAATAAATAAAAATAAATAAAAATAAATAAAAATAAATAAAAATAAATAAAAATAAATAAAAATAAATAAAAATAAATAAAAATAAATAAAAATAAATAAAAATAAATAAAAATAAATAAAAATAAATAAAAATAAATAAAAATAAATAAAAATAAATAAAAATAAATAAAAATAAATAAAAATAAATAAAAATAAATAAAAATAAATAAAAATAAATAAAAATAAATAAAAATAAATAAAAATAAATAAAAATAAATAAAAATAAATAAAAATAAATAAATAAATAAAAAAATAAAAATAAATAAAAATAAATAAAAATAAATAAAAATAAATAAAAATAAATAAAAATAAATAAAAATAAATAAAAATAAATAAAAATAAATAAAAATAAATAAAAATAAATAAAAATAAATAAAAATAAATAAAAATAAATAAAAATAAATAAAAATAAATAAAAATAAATAAAAATAAATAAAAATAAAATAAAATAAATAAATACAAATAAAAACTTAACTTATTCAAAACATCATAAAAGAAATTTACGTGCTTATAAAGGTAAAAATTATCAACTGATTATTTTTTCAATAACTCGTAAACCGTTTAACACTTTGTCAAGAAAATAGACATTTAAAAACAACGAATGTGGTAAACTCTATAACAATTTTGTGGGGGTACTGATCCCTTATTTAGACCCCCAAACTTTATGTTTCAGAAATATGAACTTTTTCAATATGGTCACAACAAATTGACGCATAAATAAGTTAAGTGTTTTACTAAAAATAAGTATTTAGATATTTGTTTTTAAAATTAAATTATCTATAGATATAAAAATATATACAATTTCACGAAATAAAAGGCTATAACATTTTTGACGCACTTTTGCATATAGGTAAGTTAGATTCAACCTACGACATTTGACTCTAGATTACCTGACATAATTTATAACCTAACTTTTTATTACATCCTGAAGAGATTTTAATATTATTTATTAATTTTTAATACTATTTTTGTAAATTATTGCTTTTACTGAAATAGATAATATGAAACTGATAAAATCGTAATTATTTTGTTACTTATTAAACGTTTATAAATACTGTTTCATAAAACGTGCACAAGTTCTAAAATAATAAAACTACCTGTCTTATTTTTTTCAAACAAAACGAAAATATGGTACCTACTACCTATTAAATTATACCTGATTTAAAAATGTACAATCTTCTAAATTTTAATTTGAAAGTAACGTAGTGTGTGAAAAATTATGAATCATCCCAAATTTTATGAAAACGTATTAAATATAAATCAAGCGTTACTTGTGTTATATAAATATAAATGGAACAAAATTTTCGAAAAAGCAGTACTTACAAAGTACATCATTGTCTAAATTTCAAAAATATATAAATAACAGCTACAGTTAAATTGTTTTTGAAGTTTAATTATAGATATTAAATGAATTATTTGATTTGGAGGCACGTGTTACATGTTGTCAAGATTTTAAATTTATACTTATTTTTTTAGAATTAAGTATTTAATCATTAGTAGTACATACCTAGAATTACTAAATTCAATAGTCCCATTTTTCATCTTTTCGTCAGTCATGATTTGTCTGTAAAAAATAAAAATCACTTCAATTTATACGATACGCATATAACCTGATTTTAAACGAGCATGGAAAATTATTAATGTCACTAAGAATTATTGTTTATTAATAACCTAAATACAAACTAATTTATGATTTATATACCTAAGTAACACCTATACGGCGATTTCATAATAATTTATCCACACTTTAGATCAGTTCTGTTGCACTGTGCTTTAACTAATATTATTGCTAAAAATAATGTGCACACAAAATATCTAGTCCAACAACGCAAGTTCATGTCACGCTAAAAAAAAGAATCTATTTCGAATTGGATTAGTGGCATCAAACATTCCAGTTTTTGCCACCAATTTCGAGTGTTTCGATTCGTAGTTTTTATGGGACACCAAAAATATTGTAAAGTACTTTTAGATTTTTTAGAATACTGGCAGGGCCAATTTACATCCGTTCTGTCGTTTAGTTGGTATACAGAGGGATTCCTAAGTTAATTCTTCGGTTAGATGGCAGACAAAGTTGAATAGGCCTTTTTGCAGTTCCCCCACTTAATACACAGAATTTGACATTTTTCCTCGGAGATAACCGAAGTTAACGCGATATATTGCCGTAGAAGTTGATGTTTTCCGCGATTTGTTGTAATTTGACATTATTAGCGCCTATTTTTATTTATTTGCAAACAATTAAAGAAAGGTAGTTATTATTAAAGCTAACCGATATTAAAAAAAAAAATGTGGTCTAACCTGAATATTTTAGTTGAACATCTAATATTCAAACCCATTTCCCTTATTATTTAAACGATAATTGAAATTTAAAATTAATTGTATCTCTAAACATTGTTTGTATTTAATTATTTTTTAAGAATGTGCTAAATACTTCCATCATAATATAGTTTGTTTACCTTTTTGATGTACAATCTTCTAAATTTTAATTTGAAAGTAACGTAGTGTGTGAAAAATTATGAATCATCCGAAATTTTATGAAAATGCATTAAATATAAATCAAGCGTTACTTATGTTATATAAATATAAATATAAATGGAACAAAATTTTCGAAAAAGCAGTACTTATAAAGTACATCATTGTCTAAATTTCAAGAATATATAAATAACAGCTACAGTTAAATTGTTTTTGAAGTTGGGCCACTTCGGTAAGATCCATCATGGATGAGTATAACCATGGCTTTTTACTCTATTTTGAGTTTTTCTTGTCCTTTGCATTATTATTTTGACTAACTTGTTATTGGTTGCACTAGACACCTTTTCACTGTTGTAACAATTGAAGAGGTTTTGAAATTCATACCACTCACTTTTAGTTTTCCTGCAAGTCTACAACATAATAGGTACTTTTGACAGCTTTGGAATAAGACATCACGCCATAATTGATATCTGCAACTGTTCTTTTTCTCTTAAAATTCATGGGGGTTCATATTTCGAAGCTGGTATTTAAACAGCTTCGATTATGAGTTTATCTCCAGAGCTTTTTTTTCAAGTACCGTAAAGTGGGGTTACTTTGCCAGCCGGGGCAACTTTGCTTAAAAAACTAAAAAATTATTTTCTGTAAATCTGGCAAAGCTGCTCTAATGCAGTTGGCGGCAAAATACTACGCGATATGCGATCAACAGGTTATAGGCAGTACGAGTCCGGAGCTCGGTGAAGCGGTGAGCCATATTTGAAAATTATGTGAGTAAAAATTTTATTTTGACCCCGTAAAATCATGTTGCTATGCTAAGGGTTGTGTAATAAAAACTAATGAATCTTAAATTCTGGTTTTAACATCACCTATTCCTGTGCATATGTAAGTTCTATTTCTGATATTAACAGTTTTCCAGATGCAAAATTTCCAATAATTTTTGCGGCTGGCAAAGTTGCCCCACATTGTAAATTTTTTTTAGAAAATGGTTCGAACGTATAAAAGACAAGTGCATGCACGGCGTTATAAAGATTATACCGAAGAGCAGTTGCTTAGAGCTGTTCTATTGATTAAAAGTAATCAAATGGGATATACCAAAGGATTCAAACCCTTCAATATTCCTGGAAGAACCCCTTGTAAATAAAGTTAAAAAAAAACATGTAGGTCCTGTTGGAGCACCTCAGCTAATCGCCCCGGAGATTGACGGTCCATTGTCGTCGTTATAATAGCCAGCTCCGAATATGGCTGCCCCCAAACCATGACAAAATTGCGAGTAGTGTTGAAGAGTCATTTAGACAAAGAAGGTGTCCGCCTAAAGAAGTTTAAAGAAGATTTGCCAGGTGTAGACTGATGCAAGAATTTTATTCATAGACACAAACATGAATTATCTAACAGACAGTGTAAAATATTAAAAAAGCAAGAGCTGAGAAAACAGATGAGGAAATAAACAATTACCTACTTTGATAATTTAAAAACAAATGTGGCAGGAATTCCACCTGGTTCCATCATTAACTACGACGAGACCAATCTGACAGATGATCCCGGATCGTCAAAATGTATTTTTAGAAAAGGGATTAAATACCTTAAACGCATTATGAACTCAACAAAGTCCTCAATATCCGTCATGTTTGCTGCCGCTGCATATGGAACTTTGTTTGCCCCATATGTTGTGTATAAGGCGGAGAGATTGTTTGATTTCTGGTGTATCGGAGGATTCCCTGGAACTCGTTGTAATAGAACCAAATCTGGGTGGTTTGATCAGTACGCATTTGAAGACTGGTTTACACAAATGGTTATACCGTGGGCCAAAAAATTGATGGGCCGAAACTTCTAATCGGAGATAATCGATCGAGTCATTTAAGCCCTTGAAGGTAGTTTGGCGCCGTATAATAACAACCTACAAAACCAAAAATCCACGAGACAGTACAGTAAACAAAAGCACTTTTCCTCATTTATTGAAAAAGCTCATTGAAGAAATAAAATTAAAAGACGAACAAATCATTCAAAACGAATTTAGAGTAACGTGAATATACCCATGTAACAGAGAGGAGGTTCTTAATAGAATGCCTAATAAGTGATTTGATAGAATCAACACTGATATTAGCTAGACCTTGTTGGATTTCCTTAAGAGCTCCTTCAAAAGCAAGCACCCCAAAGAGGAAGAAGATGATAAAAGAATTGAACCTGGCAAATCTGTGAGGATTTCACGACAAGTATTCCCAAAGAAAAGAAACGTGATAAAGTAAATAAAGAAACTGAAGAATATGACTAGACCATTGAAAGTGAATCTGAGGACAATTTAGAATTAGATGAAATCGAGGATTTCAAAAAGACTGATGACCGCAATGACGAGCCTCAAGCCCATTGCTCCCGTGATATTGTAACTAGCATGACTGAAGATGAATTAAAATTCCGATTTTCTACTTGTAGCACGTTTAGGGAAAAAACAATACAAGCATTTTGTTGCACAAGTTATTGACAAAGAAAAAGACTGCTGTAATGTAAAGTTTTTAAGACTAAAATCACTAAAATCCTAATATCTATGACACACAGGCCTTATTCTTGAGAACGATATAGTGACTATTTTAGAATCGCCAAAACTTACATCGACATCAAGACAAATTTTTACATTCGAAAATTTTGATTTTTTCAAATATAAAATGTTTTAGTTTCTTGTTTCGTAAAAATTTAAATGTTTTTTTTGAAGCATTTGTTAGGTTTCTTTTGTGACTTACTACCTACTAATAATAGTTCAGAATTAGGTATGTTCTTATTATTTTGTTACCTAAGAGTTATTATTTTACCAAAGAGTTATTATTATTTTATAAGAGTTGTTTGTTGACTTGCAAAGAGGTAAATGTTCCTTTATTTTCTTAGAAATATACATTTTTAATGTAAAAATTAATTATGTCTATTAAAATATTTTTTTTTAAACACATTAAAGGAGGGTAAAGTAACCCTTCGAGACTGTTAACTTGGTATGTATACGCTTAAAAATGTGCAAAAATGCCAGTCTGCAAAGTAACCTAAAAAGTCGAGGTAACTTTGCCAACTTTTTAAACTTCTAATTTTTTTATGCTGTCTAATTACAAAACTATGTAGCAAAAGTATTAAATTTTCATATAGTTAGAGCGGGCTTTATAATTCCCAACAGAACCATAGATATTAAAAAAAAAAAAACAAAAATTTTGTGCAAAGTAACCCCATTTTATGGTAATTTCAATATTTTTTAGTTTATTGAATCTTTGTTGTCTGTTTTAGTTAAGTTGTAGCTGTTACTCTGTTAGGTACAAATAAAGATATAATTCGTTAACTACTGTTAGTTTTCTCCAATTCTACAACTTGGTGCTTTTACAAAATCCAGTTAACTGATGAACATTTTAAGTTGCTGCTGATCATTTTTACTAGTAAAATTAATTCACAACTACAAATAATAATTGTCAGTGGAAAGTTACAGCTTCATCAAGCTTATTAGTCATAAGTAATTAATAATATGTGAATTTCCCACTTAATTTTAAGTTTTTAGGAAAAATCTGATTATTATCATTTTATTAAAAACCCAAAATATATTTCATTGAAACATGTAATACGACACTAATGTTTCTAGCGTTACATAAACAATAGCAAAAATTTATTTTTAAATGCCGTGTTAACTGAACAGTCAAGGTGCAATACATTTCTGGGCCAATGTCATTTTTATGGAAATTGTAATTTTCATTGTTAATTTTATGTTCGTTTATTTGATGTAGAAATGTAGAATAAACAGGTATTAGTATTTTAATAAAGACAATAAAATACCTTTTTTTCTTCTTTGATTTATAACTAACTTAATTAACTATTATAAAGAGTAGCATGTTATATTCGTTTCAATACAGAGGTGGAGGCTGATTTAAGAAGCTGTAGATGATGAAAATATAGTATTTTATTTACCCTTCTGACCCATCTGCTAGAGTTACTCACATTATATTTTCATTTACTATTCCAATGAGAGCACGTTGTATTATATTTTTACCCTGGTCTTTTTTATTAGAATTAGTAGTTTTGTTCGTGTCTTCCGCAATATTTTGCTATCGAATTTCATTTTATAAAAGAAAAGTTGCATTCTTATTAAATTGAAATTCCTACATTTTATGAAAAATCTTTTAAATTATTAAATCCGATCTATGATGCTTAATAAAAAAGCAATATTCCTGTTTTAGAAGCATCATGCGTTTGACCACCTATTACCATGTTTAATCACCAACTAAGTTTTTTTGACCATCCTCAGAAACCTAAATATTTAAAATAATAATAAAAGACGAGTGCCCGCTGGCCCCCCGAAGCCAATATTTTTTAAAACTGACTGCACCATAAGATTAACCAATTTTTGACCATGTTTGACCACACATTAGATTTTTTTAACACCCCTTAAAATAATTTAAACAGATAAAATATAGAAA